TGAATAACAGTGTATGATCGACAGACTCCAATTTTTGAAAATGTCATAGACTTTAATTAATTGCATTAATCAATGTTCTAGTCTTGATGACTAAAGTACTTTACAGTACAGTTTTGCCATCCACCCATTCACACATGTGCAGCACTTTCTCTACCACATCATGGGGTTCAGTATCTTGCACAAGGACACTGCGGCAGAATGAGCGAGACGGGGATTGAACTGCCAACCCTCTGGTTAGAGGACGACCTGTTATTCCTCCCGAGCCACAGCTGCCCAGAAACAATGCAGCCTTCAAATCTTAATGATGGACTTGTACAATATAGCGTCCCACAGGAATAGGTCGATTCTGCCTTTTTCAATCGGCCAAATCTGCCCAAGTGCACCTTCACCCTCTGGTGTGAGAAACAGAGAGAGATAGAAGGTTGATGGAGATCATAATGTATCTTAGTTCATAAAATAGTCTGCATTCTTTTACAAATGAATATGAATGATTCTGGCATTGTCTGTTGTCCCCAGCTGCTACTGTGAAAGGCTTCTTCTTTAGGTCATTAAATCTCAAACAGGATACACATGTTAATGAATCTGCAGACTTCCCTAAGGCTTGTTAATCCTGAGCATCTTTCTAACTCAGCAGTGTCTAATGCCCCACAAAGCCCATTCTGTCTCATCACACTTTGTGACATGATGCGACGGTTTCAGCTATTTCTGCAGAAACATAACACAAACTATTTCTCTAACTTTTTGTGTCTCCAAAGTCTTGGCGTCACCAGGAATCAGCTGATGGGACAGAAATAGTCTCTCTCTCACACACACACACACACACACAGAGAACCTTCCCCTTCCCATCCTTGGGCAATGTATTCATAGCAGTGTTAATTAACAACTCCACACCAGAAGAGAGAGATGGGTGGAAAGAAGAGAAAGTGAAGGAACAGGATATGAGAGGGAGGAAGGGAGAGATTCCTTGAAAATGATCAGCTGAATATTTGTGGCATTAGGCAAATTAAAGCCCATACATGTGTATGTTTGGATTTTATGTCTTTTACTCCTAAGTTTTCATTTGCACACTTGTTTTGACAAAGCCAAAGCAGGGCTAACTCACATCTTGCTCTCTGGCTGTCCCTCCTGGCCCATGGCAATGACCTAGAGAGAGGAGACAGCCCCAGTTCAGCTGGTTCACACCACTTGAACCCCCCCTAGCCACAGTCTGCTATGGCCACATGCCAACAGTGTTAGTAACACATTACAGTGGATTATGTTTTGAATGGTTATGAAGTTCTGTTGTTACATTACAGGGTGGGTGTATATGTGTAGGGCTGGGTACAGAAATCAGATACCTGTTCCTACATGGCCGGAACCTACAGGATTCAACAATACAATCTAAAAGGTGTGTTAACATGTGGTATCGTCACTGGGACTTGCAAATATTCCCTGCCTGTTTTTGAATGAAATCAGTTGAAGAAAGATTGTATCTGCTGCAACAAAATATGTTAGTGCTCTTCCACCACCTGTGATCCCAGGAATGGTGGCTGACCCCCAGTGAGGTTCAGGCATGTAATCAATGAACTCACAGTCGAGTGAACACACAGAATGTGTCCTTACCTGAGAACACATCTCTCCCTGTGTCTCACAGAGTGGATAAAGATGAATAGAGGAGCATGTGTGCTGACTCACAGGACAGGGATCTCAGAAACCTGGACTATTCATTGGGTTTTAAAAGTGTGAGGTTGGTGAGGTTGCACATGTCGGTGATACTGTAGGTGTGTGTATTTGATGCATATAGTTTCTTCACATGTAACTCCACAGCTGTCATTGACATTGTCATTGTGACTGAAAACTGTGCAGTATATCTATATTTATGGATCCACCGTTCTGTGCCAGTCTGACACTTTCCCTTTGCAGCCTTGGTGAGAGCATGCTACCATCACACATTCTTTGTCACTGACATGATGCACTGTGAAAAGCTGTCAGTTACAAAATTGAGAAAGAAAACTGGAGCCTTAATGTTTCTCTCTTTTATCTGAAATAAGAAGTAGTCTACAGGTACGAATGCAATGATTAGGATTTGAAGCTGGATTAATCAATATTTCAGATTAACCATGTTCTGAAATGGACTCTGTTGAACCTTTTTGCATCTTTCAGCTCCTTGTCTTGGTTTTAATGTTAACCTTCACTTTCAGCAGCATAGTGTGCTGAGCATATTCATTCTGTTCATCATAGCTCTTATAGTTATTCAGGTTGGTTGAGACCAAGACAGAGCAAACAAAAAAAACACAGAAACATGAATCAAAATGAATGTTAATGACCATCAGTCTCTTATCGACATGACAGTATGTCAGTGTTTTCAACTGGTTTCACTGACCCCAAATGGCTACAGAAACAAACTGAGACATGTTAAAACCACTACAACATTTTTAACAAATTATGAAAGTAACTTTACATCAAGGTATATGAGAAAATACTGTTGTGGGGCCAAGATTTTAATGAATGTTCACCGACATACTGACATCTAGGAGACACTTTTGTGTTGCATGACTTTTTCTAAACCGAGTATTGTCCAGACCAGACGTCAGAATCTTTAATGTAGACAATTTTTCAAAGAGGATTGAGACACCCTTAACTGCTGCAGAGCTCCCTCGTGATTTAGGCTGAGAACACAGATTTATTTTTATATTTCAAAAGTCACCTTGTGCTGCTTCACCAATGCCTGTCTGCTGAATGTGTGGAAGCAGTAGAAAAGACTGATGAAACCATGGCTCTAAGAACAGCAACAGCTGGTGCACTGACTCCTGCTGACTCCCAGCACTTGATGCCACCACGTTGCCATGACAACTGCCTGTGCACCCTCTGTTTCTGACAGCTGTTCCCATGGTGCCTCGGCTTGGCTCAGCCTCTGGACTCCCATTGGCAGGATAGATAGCTTCTCTGGGTCAAATGTCAGGTTGATGACGTTACTGCTGTAGCTTTGTCATGTCCTTTTTCCATTCGAATTACGTACGGATTAGTTAAGTTTAGGTTTGTGTCGAATCCAGAATCCATGTATCATCATTTCAGCTCAATCAAGGACTTCTTTAAACCATTTTGATTGAAAAATATTCATGTTAAGTTCAAATTCATACATTCCATGAGTGTATTTGAATTGACAGACTTTTAATTTTATTTTCCACTTGATATCGAAACTTGATGTTGTCTGGCACATAATTATCTGAAAATATAGCACCGTCAGTTCTTACTTTCTCTGTTTAGAAGAAGTAGTAGTAGTAGTAGATATAGATATAAATAACAGGGTTCAGATTTACTTGAAGCTAGCTCATGTACCAAAAGTTAGCGGTTGTTTAACAAATTGTTTGTTGGTTACCTGCTAAGAGAGCTATAGCTACTATACTGGCAATGCTAACAGGTTAATCTACTGTTCACTAACTAATGCAAACATAGAAAAAATTATATAATCTTGATTTAAAAAATTAAACTGTTAATTACCATGTATTCAATTTGTACCATGTTTGAGAAAACCATGTAAGATCCGTGTATTTTTCCAGAAACTCTGTACTCCTAACATCTCTTTCAACATTCCCTGTGACATAATTACTGTCCCAACCATTCCCCATGTCAGCTGATTGGCCAAGATGTGTCCCAGTCTGCTAGTCACCTCCCTGTTCCAACTGTGTATGGTGGCAGTCTGCTGTGTCTGCTTCACAGCACTCGCCACGGACAGCTAGAAAGGCTGTAGTGAAGAACTATCTGTCTACTCAGTCCCTGGAATAGAAATGGCTCGATTGACATGTTCTGAATGTATTTTCTGGGAGAACTGTGAGGTTTTATTTGCTTTTTTCTAAAAAGAGACATTTTCTCCGAAGCGTACTTCTAAGTATTCTGCGAAGTTCCTGGACTTTGGATGGGTAATGGTGGAGGACAGCTCGTGGTTTTATTTCGACCACAAAAAGACAACAGATCAGCTGTTATGTCCTCTAACTCTTTCCTACCCGGCAACTGGGCATTGTAGACAGGAGGACATGTCTACTTTCAACAGTGCCAGGTGATCAATGTAACCTGAATTATTTTGGATTATTTGGTGGTTGGTTGGACAAAATGTGCAAGTTGAAAGTTGCCTTGCGATCATGGAACATGTAATTATAGATTCTAGTAAATCGATTGCTCTGTTAAACTTGTATTTTATGAATTTTGCAGAATTCTCTCAATTTGAACCAATAATCACAGAACACGAAGTGTTCAGTGTTCTGCTAATAGTCAGCCTTTCACTTATTCAACCTTCAGTGTGAATGCCTCATTTTTACTTCAGCAAATGTGCAAATGTATGAATGCCAGTGCACTGCATTGTCTCAGTTTAGCAAATGACTTGCAGACACGACTGTGAAGTTTGTGTGCTGCCAGAGAATCAACCAAAGTTTTTCTATTTCCACAAATAGACAAATTAACTGAAAGGCTGTGAACGAAGCCATCTCCTTCCTCTCTATCTCTCTCACTCAGGGAGGTAATTAAAGTGCCTGTCTGGGTCCCCTATACGAGAGCCATGGTATGCTAATGCTGTATTACTTTGACACTTTTGTTGAGGCAACATTGCGCACGTTACCATCCTGATTTTCAATTCACACTTGGTTTATTTCCATCATAGACATCCCAGGAAGCAGAGGGGAAAGGCTGGGAGCCACCGAGCAAAACTGAGCCACAGTTTCATTTTATCGCTTGCATGATTTTTTTGAAAGGCACCTTTTAAGTGGTGCTCTAATTGCCAGTTATTTAGCCCTAACTGAAATGTTGTTCTCGAACACACACATGCATTACACTGCTCTGTTTATTCATTCCAAAAAATGAATCACTGATTCAGAAATCCCTCCAGGTCCTTTTCTGTTCTTGTTTTTGTAAATGTGTTGATACAGGACGATCTCTTGGAACTTTGCTTGAGGATTTATTACAAATGTTTTTGAATTCATGATGTACACCTAATGGTCAATCTTTAACTTTTCTCTTTTCTCTCTTAGAACACTGCACCAGCAGTTTGAGAGCTACAAACAGGAGGTGCGTCGCATCGGGGCGGAGACACGGCGTCAGCAGACCCAGCAGAAGGACGACGCGCCCACCTGCGGTATCTGCCGCAAGACCAAGTTTGCTGACGGCTGCGGTCACCACTGCTCCTATTGCCAGACCAAATTCTGTGCTCGCTGTGGAGGGCGGGTCTCTCTGCGCTCCAACAATGTGAGAAACTTGACCTCTGACATCTTTCTTCCTCTTGTGCTCACCTCATTCCAGCTGTAGTTGCACTGTTGGTCCTTCCGCTGCTGTGTGTTTGTTAACGTCTGCTTTTTTGCTCCCTGGTCACACTTTGGTGAGACCAAAGTGTATTGGGAGAATGGCTTGGCACCAGTCATCGGCCCATTATTTAAGTCTGAGGCTGCAGTGTTAGTGTTGTGGAATGGTTATAAAGTGAAACACTTGAGATCACTTGAACGTGAAAACACCGGTTACAGCATCTGTGTTGTCCTGTGTGTCCTGTGACTGCACTGCAGCCATCAAGCATGCATGTCCCACAGTGACAGTGCGGCTCCTCTCAAGCAACACGTCCTAACAAAGACCAGGGCCAGTGAAAACCTGACCATAAAAACTACAATACTGAAAATAGCTTAATAAAAATAGTTTTTGTGTTGTTGTGAGGGACAACAGTTGAAATCTTTCATTTAGAACAATCACATTTCAACCTGGATTCTGAAGTATCCAAACAATTTCTCAAACAGCTCTTGCAGCATCATCCACTTATTTTCTGTCAACATCTCTTTGCTCAATTTGTTGATGATTTGTAAATATTTTTGAATAAACTAGTCATTTACTTACAATACTAATAATAAATACGACAATTTGTTAAAAAAAAACTTATTATAAGACACAATGTACTTGAACAATTTTCAAAACATATTCAATGATGTGTGTCTTTGCTCAAAGCTGTAGAGGTAACATTGAACAAGGAATGACTTAAAAGGTCACTTTAATCAGGAATTGTGATGGATGTCGGACATATCATTGGGCCTCTCTAAATTGTGGCCCTTTCACGGCCCCTCATATAAAAAAACCTAAGATCTGCCACTTTTGTCAGGCTTTACTTATGCAGGGCTTTAAGCTAAATGCTAAATCAGTTCACAAACATGCTCACAATTAAAAAAGCATTCTAAAATGTCCTTATTGGCACCAAAGAGGTATTTTCTGTGTTTAATCTGAATCCAAAAAGGCAAAATTCAAATAATCATCAAAAGACCACGAGTGTCAAGTTAGCAGAACTTGTACTTGTGATAAATCACTTGATAGAACCTCCTGGAGATTAGATAAAGCCATAATCAATAAAGTCAAAGTGGCTAAAAAGAAAAAAACTTTGCACTGAAGACACTGAGTAGTGCTTCACTTACGCTACAAACCCAAGAAGCAACACTGTTATAGATCAATGACCCACACTATAACAGCAAATCCATTAAGAAGATTCTAAGTCCTGACTACCAGATTAGATCAGTGTGGCCTCCACCCATGTTTCAGCTATTTTAAGTCCCAGCCCTCTCCCATCCCAACGTTCTCTGGGCTCCCCTCCAACCTAAGAGAGAGGACCTCCTCCTGACTCTGTTACCTGAATGTGGGCACTACACCCTTGGCCTTCTGGTCCCCAATCTGTTCAGGATCCGCCCATCCCAGCTGGACCTGTACTCACACTGGCACCACATGAACTCAAAGGCCTGGGGATAAACATAGTATCCCTGATGGCAAAGTCATTAATATTATGTTGACAGAGGCAGGCTGTAACATGGAAAACAAGACTAGCATGGAGTTAATGTGATCTATAAATAACAGCAATACATTCAGCTGAATGAAAAGATTCAAAATAACACAAATCAGTATTTTTTTCAAATAAGGCATGTTTCAATATGAGAAGCTTTAGCTTTCAAAAGGATTTGTGAAAATGCAACTACTTAATTTAACAGATCATTGCGCAATTTAATTTATGAATCCTCATAAAGGATAAGAGAGCATTCATTATTTTCTTTTATGCATGTCTATTTGTGAAAGGTTGTGTTTGTGCGTGTGTGTGTGTGTGTGGTAGGGATGTTATGGAAATGATTAAGCTCCTTTAGTCTTGGTGGTGCTTGCCTCTGTCCTAGGTTGTCCAGTAGGCCAAGCAGAATAACAGGATTAGGAAAGTGTGAGCTTTGGGTTTTGTTTTGTTTCTTTTTAAACCCTCTCTCCTGCTCACAGTTTTCTCATTTACTCCACATCAGCATCACTTAGTTTTTCTCCAATTTGGCCTACTGTTCTTTTATAAAATAATAATGATAATATAAATATATCCTCCAAAAATGTAGCTTGCTTCATCAGATGTATGTATCCAATTGAAATAGCAAGATACAGCTGCTATAGAAGATTGCCACCACTACTTGTACTACTTTAGTACACAAGAATCCTTGTGTAAAATTAAATAAATACACAATACTTTTGTAAGATAAATCCTTTATCTCCAAATGGTCTGTTCATCTACATTACATTAGACACACACAAGAAAATGAGTAGTAATTTCTATAAATGGATAAACATACACATAATTTTAAACTCTATGTGTGAATGTGTGTGTGTATGTGTGGCAATTTATTTTTTAAAGTCATAAAAAAGATTGTCTTTTTGTGTCTTTTGCAAACCCCTCAATAAAGAAAACTTCGAAAATCGCTTCTCAGATAAGATCACACACAACGTACATTTATGGCACTGTAGGCGTCAGTTAAATAAAAGATATGGGGTAAAAATATGAGGCCATTAAGTTTTATTTGCTTGTAGGCAGCTTACTGTAATAATTAATCAGGTCCTATTGGCAGAGCTGTGCAGTGCTGCCCTGCGCCCTGCAGAAGGCACCATCCAAACACTGGTTATGCCATGAGCACTCCCCTCTGTATTTTTAAACAAGGATTACAAATAATCAAATAATTATTTTGTCACGTTGTAATCAATCAACAGTATTGGTGACATTTAGAATTACATAACAACTACATCCTGAAATCAAAAGAAAGATTATATGAAAAAAGTAAAAGTAGCTTATTGATAATTCAAAAGATTTTTTTCATTGAGACTTATATAAACTCTTAGGTGTGGAGGAGCTGTGACACATACTGATGTTGTCACAGGTTGTCATCAGTCACACCCAGGTCACGCCAACCTGGGTCATGCATGTCGCTGCAGCCAAACATGTCAGTGGTCACTTACATTCACATACTGTCGTCCCCACCGCCTCAGACTCTGAATATGAAGTATGTGTATCAGTTCTGCAGATTGTAAATAACAAATGTTTGCACCACATCCTCCTTCCCCCTCTTCTCCCACAATCTGTCACACACTCACCCTCTCTTCATCCCTGTTTCTTATATCCTTTTATGCTCTTTCATTTTTCTCTTTCCTTCCTTGCTCCACTTCATCCCTCACTTTTCTCACTGCTACCTGGACTGCATGCATCAAAGGAAGACAAAGTGGTTAGCATTTTATTTTTTGTTCTCTCTGTGTTGTGAATGTGATGTTTGTGCCACACAAAGGTAAAAATGCTTACTATGTTCAAATCTGGAGCAGAGATTGTCCTCTTACACACGACTTCTGCCCGGAGAGGTGATGTAAACTATATGTTCAGTGTTTTTCATGTTTGCCAGACCTGCAATGTGACAGCTGAAAGAAAAGGGTTGAAAAAAACATCAACATCAATTGCAAGAGACTAAGCTACTGGATCGGAGTGAAGCAGTGTGTGTACAAACCCACTTGTGGATTACTGACTGAACTGAACAGCAGAAGTCCCTGATGGTTCATAGTTTCTGTTAACTATGGTTTCTCAGAGATAAGACTGTACTGTGTGGGGCAGAGCCAGCTGGATCTATTGTGTCCTCAGCACATTTGTTCTCCAGCATAAACCCTGTCTAACTATGTGTCCATTGTCTGTCTCCTCCCCCTGCAAAGTGTCTCATAGTGAAGGACAGGGTAAGGCTCGCTGGGTTTCACTGCATGGGTCACCACTATTGTCTCCCCTCCACACTCGGGTCTGTGCTCATTCACAGCATCAGAACAGGAATTCCGACCCACAATCCGTTTTTCTGTGTGACAGATCATTGTGGATAAGCTGTCCCAGGGTGATCCTGCATCACTACTCTAATTCTGAGAATGAATGCAGACCCTGAAATTTATCATAGTGGGCAGAACGAGCATGAGCCGTAACAAAGGCTGTCTGCAGGGGCGTCTGAATTGTCTGACCCATCCTGACCCCTCTTCCTATGGCTGTAGGCATGGCTGTGCTGGGAGGGGGCAGTACATAATATAATGTGATAAAACCTTGGCAAAAACAATGATGATGGATTGGCATTTTACCTGGCATGCATGTAAGAAAGCACTCTACCCTACAAACATTTTTATCTGAATGCAGTAGGAATGCACACTTGCCTGTGCATGCTCTCCCTGCCTGTGTGTTTGAGACCAGACCAGCCTTGCCATAGGGAGACGGGAAGGGCCCAGGTACTGTTTTTGTTCCACTTTGTCCACTTACCACTTCCCCCAATGCTTGGTCACTGCAAACGTGTTGTTACTGCTGCTCCCTGTCAGAGATGGTGAAGGGTCTGTGAGTGAGCTGTAGTTTGGGATGTTGCACAGCCTGTTGCTGAGGATTCACTGAGTATGTGTCACTTTATAAATGCTTCCCAGGTAAGGAAGAAGTGTCAGAATAGAAGAGATTGACACACGTCTTTCATTCAAATGCTACTTGTGGTTTAAATACAGTTTAATAACTATTCTGTTTTCTCACACACCGAAAACCAAGATAACCACGTCATATATTTTTTTAAAACATCGTTTAGAATGTTTTTATTCAAGCGGAATTGGCAGTTTGCTGAAACCCATCATCTGGCAGCAATAGTCCAATTGAAGCTCAGGATTAGGTACAACAGGCCGCTCAAACTTTGCAATAATCTGTATATAAAGAGTCTGGGGGTTCTTTTTTTAAATTACCTTTTCAAAAACACAAAAACAAAAGGAAAGGATTTAACAGTGATCTTATCTGCTAACAATTATCCACTGTGTAATATTCCCTGTTGTCTTACGATCCTGAATGCTATCAGAGTTAATATCTCTGATGGGCATTTTACTGGTTTTGGGTTTACACTCCATCAACTCAAGATTGGTGAATGCCCTGAAGGTCGGTCTCTTGGGATAAAAAAAGTTACTGTACAAGTTAGGTGTTTTGTTATTGTTTTTATTGAGAGACCTCAAGTGGCAGAAGTAAGATATTGTATGCTAAAGGAAATCAATTTCCGAAACTTGAAATTAAAGGACAGAATATAGTTGTTATATTTTCACCCCTGTCCTGGGTGTACCCTGTCGTCTATGTCTGCTGGTATAAATAGTGGGTGGATGTTTTCATTGTCTTGATCTAATGGTCACCGACAAGACACTAAAAAAACATATCATGAAATGCCAACAGTTTCAAGTTCAGATTCATTTCAGTATGTGACAGAAAGGCTAAGCTTTACCTGAAGTGTGTGTAGGAGCTGATGTGTATTTCGAAGCCCTGTGTCAACTTGCCCTGCTATTTCTCTTATACTGGTGTTACAGCTTGTTAATGGCTGAGTGCTTGTTTATGTCTGCTTAATGTCAGCTCCAGATGGCCTCCAGAAACTGAACAAAACACTCACCGATTATTCTCCTTTGTAGAGGAGCACTGCCTCCTGGTGGAGCGCAGACTGGTGCTGGCACAAACACACACAAACACACACACACACACACACACACACATGCACAAATGTACACAAGTACTGAATATACAATAATCACTCAAATTTAAATCAAGCCCATAGGAAGCACAGTGATTGCGTTCTCCTGTGCCAATATTAATGGTAATTTATACCAAATTAAAGATTGGGTATGATAATCTGGGCTGAATAGATGCCTTTTGTTACTGGTGGGGTAAAACACAGAGTATTATTCTCTCATGAATTATTCAGCACATGACTTCAGCTCTTATATTTATTTGTAAGTATATGGCCCCTGTGTGGCCCACTATCTACCACTGACACTCACACACACACACACACACACACACACACACACACATATGCTCCGATTCACGCTGAGACAGTCGCACACAGAGTCTCGCTCGCTCACTGCATCAAGCTGACACTGCACTTTTTACTGGAAGGGAGGATGCACTGCATAATTTCAATCATGTTCCTCAGTAATAGATGACAAACCCACTGCTCTCTGCTCCTCCTCACACTACACCCTGCTCTTATCATACACACACACACTCACTCACACACACATAGACACACACACACTCTCTCTCTCTTTAGTCTTTGTAAAGCTTCTACATTTAACCTTGACCCCCCTCTTACAATCTCTCTCCTAATTTCTGTCTTTTCTCCATTTCTCCCTCTATAACTGCCACTACTTGTTGTATGAGACTGATGATGGATGACTGAAATGACTGACTCTATGTCTAACAGTATGACTCTGTTGACTGGATCTGGTAAAAGTCATTAGCAACATTCTCAAGACCACCAGAATCTCAGTACTTGTGAAGGGCTTTGTAATACTGTAACAGCTCCTATTACGATCACCTTCACTGAAAAGACATGACTGCAAAGTGAAAGTAAATTCAAATGTGGGTTTTTCAGACAACCCTTTTTGTGAACTTAAAATATTTCTGTACTTGTGCAATTATCATTTAAATGTTACAATTTCAATGGTGAAATGAAGCATCATTTAAAAATAATTATTTGGGGAATACACCACACAATTACACTTAAACACTCAGAATCTAAGCTTGGGTCAGAGGCCGTTTGACAAACCCTACATATTGTGATGGTGTGGACTGTTTTCCTGAGGAATGAGATGTTTCTGGTCTGCTCCCTCATAATTTTATCTTCAGATTAAGTTTTGTATTGCATGACTGTAATAATACTATACTGACTACACAGAATTACCTTTTAATTTTGTATGTACAGAGAAAACTCACACAGAGATTTCCATTAATGGTGGATTAAGTGATTTTTAGGGAGCGACTCTTGATATTTAAAAAAAAATACATCCCTTCCCTTCACTGCTCCTTCAGAAGCTCCACACATTTATGCACGTGTATTGCCATGGTGAACCGCTGATGGTGCTGTTTCTGAGTAATCTTCCCACAAAGTAAACATTTGAATCACATTTATATTATAAGACCATAATTATTAGCTTCTGCGGATTGAAGTCGTTTTAATAAATTGCTTTAAGAGTGGTGAGCAATAGAGAACTGAAAGAATATAGGATGGAGTCTTCTCCGTGATATTGACATCAGAAATGTAAAAGCCACGTGGATTTAAAGCCACCACAGCTCTGCTTTTCTTTCAGCCGCCCTCACCACTGAATGCATCTGGCCTGCTTGCAGTGTTGATCTACTACCTTATTAGGGGAAATGGAGCATTATGCCTATTTGTGGTCGTCTTTCTTCCCACCATTCAGGATTTACCATTCCCTGAACGATGGCAGTTTACACCCAGCGCTGCCTCATATGTCATTCTGTCGAGGTGTATGTGTGTTGAGAGTAGGGTCACTGCACATGCTGACTGAAAGCCAACCACCCCTTCCCCACTTCTCCCCTGCCCCCAAGGTTCCTATTTATTCTGCCCATTTAAGGAAAAGCTGATGTCCACACAATTCGGCTTAAATGAATGCTGCTCTCGCCTCGAGCTGTTGAATGCTGCTGCTGTCGGCAGAGCTGCGGTGGCGCACGCCTTCACCTTCACCATTTTGTCATCAGATGGATGGAGTGGTGCTGGGGGTGAGAAATGAAGGGAAAGAGGCCAGGGGGCAGAGAAGTATGAGTGACAGGTGTGTGGTGTCTTCATTTGTAAAGTCAGCCAGGTGTGTCAGTGGAGCCAGAAGGTGAGGAGATATAAGAGGAAATTAGAAAGGACATGAAAAGGGTAGAGCAAAATAGAAATGGAAGTGTAGGAAAAGAGTGGGGAGGAAGGAGAAGAAAGGGAGAAAAGGAACAGAGGATGGAAAAGGAAATAAAGGGCAAGGAAAGGAGAAGATTTATAAGAGAGGAGTCGAAAGCAAAGAGGGAAGGGGGAGAAAAGGAGGGAAGAGGGAGAGGGGAACAAGGAAAGGAAATAAGACGAAATGAGGTAGAAGAAAGGAAAGAAAGAAAAACCTGTGTGTCAATATGAACAGGTACACACACACACACACACACACACACACACACACACACACACACACTTACACGTTATTTATTTCATAAGTTACCTTTGGGGACTTTACAGTGAACTATGTTGGTTTCCTGGAGACTTACTGTAACCTAACCTCAACCATAACCACTGACCCAAAACACAGCCATGTGATAGCCAAATATAAAAGTGCAAACCACATATGCACCCTGAGCAGCAGGTCACCAGGTTTGTCTCTCGGTTGGCTGGACCATTTACAGCGTGCTCACTCTTACACCCTGCTTTCTGTCTCTTTTACTGTGTTTATCGAAATAAAGTCCAAAAAAGCATCAAAAGTATACTTATAAAAATCTGCCTTTCCCTTTTTAGGGACACTGCTTTTGTTCCAAATTGGACGAGCAACCCCCAGTTGGTCTCTAGCCAATGACAGGAAGACAGCCACACACTTTCTCCCTTTTTCCCTCACTGGCTCATCTCCGTGATTTGGTTACCATGGAGAAGCATATTTTTTAGGCAGAAGGAGGTTGACATTATTACATGACAGCAATGGCACTGCTTATTCTTCACACACACACACACAAACACACACACACACCACATCTTGCCTACAGGCAGTCGCCCACGCCACGCATTTCTAGACAAGAACATTTTAAAAGTGTCCTACATAGCGTACACATATCTCCACACACACAGACACGTTCTCAGGGCACATCTCGCACCACAACACGCAGTGAGGCAGCGAGATGAACTCGAGGTGACACTAAAGCGGGCCGCCCCTGGACCGAAGGAGCTGATTGGTCGGCATTGCTGAGAATCTGACATCATGCTCCGGCTGGTCACACACACGCACACACTATTGGGTGATGCTTGTGCATCATATGTACACAAACACACACTTGTTTCACACGCAATTAATTCCCACACTATCTTTTGGGCTATCCAGGAACACAGCACACAATCATCCAGGAAAGGATTATATGTATTATATGCTTTGTGTGCATGGGTGTGTGTATGTGTGTGTTTGTGTGTGTGTCCATGTGTTCTACAAGTATTGTTTACTACCCTCCCCCATCTGCAGTGTGGGCTTTAGAGCACATAACCAACACATGAAGGAGTGCCATTAGAAAATGAGATCTGTGAGTCTCTTGCTTTGAGATCAGACTGGGCATGAACAGCCTGATGTGATTTCTTCTACAGTATATGATGCTCTCATTCGTGGATTAAGCTCGTGGATTAGAACATTTACTCCTCCTCGTTGGCTGTGACAAGCAAACCAAACTAACTGTAGTTGGAGCCCATTGCAATACATCTGTTGTACCCAGGGTTTGGGTACTGCAAAATGACATGAATGTATGACAGTTTGTACTGAAAAGAATAATTATTTAGTTTTAGTACGTTTATTTGTTTTTTTGGCACATGACAATTTAGACAATTTAGATGAATTTCAAGTTTTCCATTGTTCAAAACACCAAATGAAAATGGATACAATGGTGCTCATCATGACGTTATATCTTGCATTGACCCTCTTGGTATTGTGGCATAAAAAGCCATGAATGTTTTTGTGTTGGTTGATTTTTATCATGGGAACAACCTGCAACAGCGTTTTTATTTTATTTTTTGCATCGGGCAAGATGCACCTCAGTTTCTGGTGCAAGTATTTCTGCTAATTTCTGTGAAAAAGAAGTATAGCTGTACAAAGTTGTGCTCGGCAGCTTTGACACTAAGATCCAACACATTTCAGTTGGCATTAATAGGATACTGAAGTTTAATACCAGCCCTACTCAGTGAGGCATCAGTTCAGACCATAGAATGCATAAAAAGACAGAGGATGCATTTCCTCTTCCTTCCACTATTCACAAATGAAGCAAGACCCACAGACACATGCTCAAACAATGGTTGGGGTTTATGACTGCAGCTAGCCACCAGGGGGCGATTAAGATGCTTTGGCATCACTTTTGGGGAGCTGTCATGTCATCCATGTCTTATATACAGTCTATAGGTCAGATGGAACACTGGTATTATGAATTGGATCGGTTGACTGGCTCATGACTTCAGCTTTTTTTGGCTCAAAGTTGTAAAATTAGTAATATCCAATCAAATTCATTCAGGCGTGCAGCTTGGACATTATGAACTGAAACCTCCCCACCGTTCTCTGACGATCACAACAGTGCAGTATGATGTCACAACCTCCATCTCTCCAGCTCGCTCCTTATTTCTTGTTTTGTGTTGTAACTCTTCTTCTTGTACAGGGGTCTTGCTTGGTTTGATTCAGAGCCCCCTCAAAGAGCAGAGCCTTTTCTTTAGGTTTATAAATACTTTTTATGGATGTTCACATCTAAGACACAAGTGTCTGCTACTGAAATAGTTTTTATTGTATGGAGTGTGCCGTCTGAAATGTACGGTGACCAAGATCTCTCACACAAAGCACATTAACAGAAAACACAGCAGCAAAAGCCACATCACAACTGCAAAAGCCACACAACAGAAACACAATAACAATAGAAGAGATTGACAATGGATGGTGTTGGGTGTTTTTCCTTTTTGGATGCTCCAAGCACCTGCAGGAGACAAACATCCTTCATTTTAAGCAGCGATTGACTTCTCCGGGGTGGCTATAGGTTAGAAGTTATGAGTTGTGAGCTGGTATTGTCAGCCGATGATGAGTTGAATAATGGTGAGGAGCTGAAAGGATTACTGGCCACCGCTAATCTGTGGCCCCCTCAGTTGAGGTACAGAGGTGGAGAAAGACAGCAAGAGAGAGAGAGAGAGAGTGGTGTGTGGCTGGGCGGCTGCCTGACAGCTGTGGCCCGTGCAGGCACTGGATTTACTTTAGATTAGTCTGGACATGCGCCAACTAGGATTCAATCAGGCCATGATGAATTTGCTTTGGAAGGCTAACTGCTAACTGCTGAACTGACCGCTAACAGTCCATCCCACCGGCCGTCTGCGGAGTCATATATTGGGGTTTTCCTCTGGACCCAGGGGTGTTTTGTTTTCAGATTGTGCCAAGATTTTGACGTGGAATACGAGGGACAACTGAGTTTTGACGTTTTGGATTTATTCTCGGAAAAATAAACCGCTGGGATTATAAATACGGAGGGAGATAAATCCTGTTGTTGTGCTGTGGAAGTGAGGTGGTATTCAGTAGCCATGGCGACATGTGAGTATGTGATGTTATCTCATTTAGAGGCTGAAGAATAGACTTTTATCATTTCTTCTCATCTTGGCAACATTACCCAGTTATAATGGAGCATTTTATAGAATTGTACATGTTATATCACAGGAAACTATTGACTGGAATAGTGTTAACATTCCTCCTTTGAGATTAAACCAATATGCATACAGTATTGTTATCAGTTCATGTATCCATCCTCCTTTTTCAACTACTGTGTCACTGTGATGTTTGTAGCCCTTGCAATTGAGATGTTTTTATGATATCACCAATATGATTAAAATGGATCAGTCAAAAAGCAGCACTTTTTTATTAGTTGGCCATAAAAACACAACCTTTAAAGGTGTTTCTGTAGTTAAAGAATGTAAAACATACCATAGCCACTAAGTTGTGAAAGCGACACATCTGCATATGAGTGCACTTAAAAATTGGATTAGCTGGAAACAGAGAGGGAAGAGAATGAAGGGAACATCAATGTGTTGTGACTGTTAGTTTTTTGTTAGGATGAATAATTAATGTATGTGAGTAGAAAAACAGCTATTTGTGAAATTCCACTTTTACAAGAAACTTTAACTGCTTTCATAAAAGATCATCATACTGCGTTTGTCTGGTTCTCGGCTTGATGTTCAGTAAAAATTATTTGTGTGTGAAATGTTTACAGTCCCACTGAGTTTTGTGTCATGGGCATGCCTGAACACTTATTTAGTTAACTCCATTCAGTTATTGTTCTCTGTGCAAACACCTCCTGTCTTTTAAACCCCTGTAGGTAATGTGGGTATGCAACCTGTGCCGTAAGCAGCAGGAGATTCTCACCAAATCAGGAGAATGGTTTTCGGGGTCAGGTGTGCGGCCCGGGAGCCTGGGCACCTCCTTGAACGACCCAGCCACGGGAGGTGAGGCCCAACGGGACAGGAAGCTACTCCGCTCCAGGTCCCAAGCCCCGCCCTCCAGCACCAACACCAGCACAGGGCCAGACGGGACACAGCTGCCTGCTGGTATCACTGCTGCCAAGGGTGCTGACACCATGCCCGGCTCTCGCTCTCAAAGTGAACCACCCAGAGAAAAGTAAGCATCAAAGGACAAAAATACAGCTTCTGTGATATAGTGTTCTTCAAACTGCCACTGGAGAATGTTTGACATAAACAAATTGTACCTTTTTTCTTAATTAATATTAATATAATATTAATAATATGATAAGAACTGGTTAAAGAGCACCACATTATTTAAAACAGAGAAAGCTGACAATGCTTTAAGGCTCAGCACCCATTTTTATGGTATATTGGCAGAGGCTGCTGTTGTTCTTTAATCCCTGGGTTAAGAAAAAAATAGATCAGTGTCTGTTCTAGCTTAAAACCGTAGAAAAGCTAGGTCACAGACATTAGTCTTGAGAGGTCTTTGATTCAGTCCCTTTGTTGTTATTTGGTAGGTGAGGTAGGAATTCATCTGTCTCAAGTTGATAAGTAGAATGTGCAATCTGTTCATACAAAAGGCTGATACAAGGTTTTACAAATATAGAAAGGAATGTGCTTAGTGCAAGATATTTCTGTCTCTTCTTAGCATTGTATTCATGTAACAAATTGTACTTTCGCTCACCTGTACTAATGGAAATGGTGCACCTGTGCCTCTGTCTGTGTCTGACTATATGATACATTTGTTTAACAAATTATCCTCTCATTCAGGAAAAGGCCAGTTTCCCTCCATGAACAAAATGGTAAGGGAGGCATGGGGCGTGGTAGTGGCCGGAGACCAGCTGGGAAGTTGTCATCTCAGTCATCCCTGGATGAGCGGGTGGTTCCCAGTGACAGAGGAGAGAGAAGACTGGGAGACGGACGGAGGCTGGCGAAGATCCATTCTCAGGAGTACGAAGATGGAGAGGGGAACTTGGGTCGTTCAGAAACACACCGGAGACGCCCAGAGGATGAAGAGCAGAGGGAGCGGCAGCGACGCGAGGAGGAGTTCCAGAATCGTTATCGCAGTGACCCCAATCTGGCCCGATACCCAGTGAAACCGCAGAAAGAGGAGCAGGAAATGCGCATGCATGCTAAGGTGTCTAAAGTACGCCATGAACGACGACACAGTGATCTAGCAATCAACGAAGTTGGATTGGGACCTGGTGAAGGAGGAGGTGGAGGAGGCAGTGCAAGTGAGGTGCCTGAAAACCGTCTGGCAAGGAGGGGTGGGGTTGGGGGTGGGGAAGGAGACCGCAAGGTCCTGGAGAACCACCGAGCCTACTCTGTGGATAGGACCGTGGGGGTTGGAGGGGGGCCTCCACCTGCTGGAGGCGGTTTGAAATCAGGGCCCCAACCTGGGGGACCGGTGCCTCCAGACTGGGGTCTGAACAAGGGCCGTCTAGAACAAGGTACAATACGGACACCAAGGGACAAAGGTGGGGATAACCTGTTGAGGAAGGACTCCCAGAGCTCGGACCAGTCTGAATCTTTGCGACCACCCCCTCCACGTTCATACAAGAGCAAACGTGGGGTCAACAAGAGGCAGATGTCCATCAGCAGCTCAGAGGAGGAGGGCGGCTCCACGCCTGAGTACACCAGCTGTGAGGACGTGGACATGGAGAGCGTCAGTGAGAAAGGTCAGTAGAACAGATGTGTTCACTACACGAGTTTTCAAAATTAAATCGATCTGAATTTACATACCTTACATTGTTTGCCATTGAAACAGTTCCTTAGATTTATTTGTTCAAGCTTTTTTTTTATCACCAAAAGTTGTTTTTGAGCTGCTGTAGCTCTCACCTACCTCACACGAGCATCCCTAATCTGTACATGMTTCTCATTCTGTCTAGGGATCATACAGAGCCTATCAGTCTACATTAGTTGTATTTTCATCATTGTCACGAGCAATTTTTTACTGTATCACCTACATATACTCAGTGCAGTGTGAGCTGGATTAGAACCACAGCATCAATAAGTAACGGCTAATACTCTTTAGAAATAGAAAGATCCCATGTTAATTTAAAACACACATTTCACCTGGAAATAGCAGATAAAAATAAATAAAGAATGAAATAATCCTTACACAATTAGGTCAAGGAAGGCAGCCATAATGAAGCTGCTTCATGGTTGTGTCCTCCTAAAATAGACTTGGTAGTGGAGTTATGACAATGTGCAAAAAACAGCGAGAGATATTTTGGCTCGTACGATTATTATAATACCAACATATGCTTATTTTGGACAGTAAAGCTATAGGATAAGTGATAGGATGAAGCACTCTCCCATCACATAGTGCATTACTATCCCTGTGTGTCATCTACACCTCTGTGCTGTGGTTAAACCCTGCTGCTCTCTGGACAGCTCTCATTTATTTGGAGAGTCCCTGTGATTTAGGCCAGCAGATTTGTGGAATTAGGTCAGTGGCTCGCTTGCTATGTAATGTTTTACAAACAGCCAGCTGAAACCAGCCAACCACCGATGGACCACCGGCTAAAAACCAACTTGTGGTTGCATGCTGCTCAGAAGCTGGTGGATGTTTTGGTACCTTTGTGTTTCGCAGCTCGTTGCGATTCTAGGCCGCACTAAAGTAAGCCACGTGACAGAGTTTGAGTTCAAGAGGCAGCGGCTAGAGATAGCCGTGCTCTGACGGCTTATCTCTCTCACTGGTCACAGGAGGGGCCTGTTCCAGATGTTTTAATCCAGATTACTATAACTCAGGGACTGGTAATGGGTAGATGGTGTGGATTGGGATTATTAGCTGTTTTAAACACTCTTTAGCTAGCTGGAACTCAAATCAGGATATCTCTCTTTACCCTCATCTGTGGCGTGTGGCACGTTTTGCAGAATCATGTATGATTTCCTACGTAGATACATTAGATCAAGTCAGATGGTTTCATAGGGTCAACACGTTATGTTTCTGTTTCACTGCTAGTTGGAAGCAGAGACCTCTGTGTCACAGTCTGTGTTACAGGTTTATGAGAAGTGATGAGTGACCTCATGTTATGTGTCTGCAGTTTAAGTGTCTCAAAGTAAAGTGTTCCATAAAATATAGTAGACTCACACTTAAAAGTAGGCGCTTGATATATGGAACAAACATATTTTGTTACAATGAAAGTTTAACTTGGCATCTATATTTTTTGTTAACTTTTCACAAATCTGAGGCAAATTCAAAACAGATGATGTGTGTTACACCTTTCACAGTGTTTGCACAATACATAAGCTTGATATTTATTTATATGGACTTTTGGCTATATTGTTATATTTGTTTTTTAATTTGTTTAGTTTGTTGTTTAAATTTTTTGTGTGACTCGGGTCACATCTCTGTTTTGACCAACTCCAATTTTGCCAACACAAATTTTTCAGGAGCCGGTAGTTTCAACTCAGAAAATAAAGTGGGCATTCTGTGATTTGTTGTTAAATAAAATTTAATCACAGTCATACTTATTATTGTTTTATTGCTTTTCCTTATTGGAGAATTAATGCAAATTGTTTGTGTCACTGGGGCCAACACCTGATATTTGTATATTAATAGTTGTCATTAGTAATTTCTCTGATATATGTTCAAAACGTGTGCTAAACTCAGATGAACACTCGCTATTGACTTATTATCACCTTTTGCATTGATATTAGGAACTAGATATTAAATTGTTGCTTATTTACTCATCTAGCAGATTCTCAGCAATATCAACATTCATCAGGAGTCATGATTTTAGTCACCGGGCAAGTCCAAGTCCATCATTCACTGAAATGTCTCACTGTGTGAAGCAGCTCCTCTGCTGCTTGGTGCTGAGCAGGTCATGTAAAGTGTGTTCATAAAACCTTTGTGGCAGTGGCCACATTTTGTTCAGTGAGAGCAGTGACAATGAACCAAACAGGAAATTGTGAGCTGAACAGCTAAGCAATGAGCTTTGAATTTGAATAGTTATCTGTGTTCATCAATACAAGTTTCCCCTTTTTTGTTGGACTGTTTTTAAGCACAAGGGTAAACTGCTGCTGCACTGGGTTGAAAGCAGGAAACTTACATTATACTGACATTAAGGAGAATGACAACACTGCTATCATCAAGGTCAAATGAACCTTGGCAGCAAGCAAACTAGTTCTCCTCCTGCTGTCTAATAGCTAAACATACTGCTTTATTAGTTTGAAGCTATAAATCAGATAGAAGGGATTTCAGAGATAAGAACTGGATTTATTTATGCCTGAACAGTTGATTTATGTTCTAATAATACACCGTGGATTCCCAATCTGCTAAACTTGAATAACATAGCAACTTTAACTCAGTGTTTGAAGTCAAATGGAAGCAGGTAGTGAATAAAAACAATTTGGTTACGTTGGTGTAAAGAGAACGAGCAAGAAGGTGCTGAGGAAATGAAAGAGGAAGTCTGCTAGTGAGGTGACACAAGTGTGTGTGTGTGTGTGTGTGTGTGAGAGAGAGAGAGAGAGGTGGTCGTCCAGTTTCTAGAGGCGGTTCGATTATTTACAAAGTGCTTTTAAAAAACTGTTATAAGGTGCTATACGAGTTAAAAATGAAAAATTGACAGCAAACAATAGGAAAGAGTGAAAAGATTTTGATGATCACACAGCAATAGATGATAAAAATAGAATTAGGAGAGATTTAAAAGAGGATAAAGAGATTGCCAAGGAGATTGTCAGTGAGATTGAGAGTGGGAGCACCTGACAGAAAAGGCCTGGTCACCTCTGGTCCTCAGCCTGGACTGTGGAATGGAACGAGCAGGGCCTTCCCTGAAATGACACTGAAGATGCACAGAAATGACACCAAATATCCAACAAAGTGCTTTAAAGGTACAGTGTGTAGAATTTAGTGATATCTAGTGTTTGAATTGCATGTTGCAGCTGAACACCCCTCACCTCACTCTCTCCTTCCAAACATGAAAAAGAACCTGTGGTAGCTTCAGTTGTCATAAAAACTCAAAAGGTGTTTAGTTTGTCCAGTCTGGACTAATGTAAAAAACATGGCAGCCTCCGTAGAAAAGGTCCCCTTGATGTAAATATAAAGTATTTAGATATAAAGGGCCTTCATCATCGGACATCATGAGGATTATTCTACATTAAATTTCTGTCTAAAGTTCCTTTTCACCTAAATCTTACACACTGGACCTTTAAGGTTGTGTGGTGGGGGCAGTTAAAGCAGGTTAACTGGGATTTAGGGTCCTCTGATCTAAAGACCTATGTACACATGAGCCATGTTCATTTTTTGGGACTGAAATGTGTGAAATAGCAGATGGGGTTGGAGAGGAGCACACACACACACACACACACACACACACACGCACGCACACACACACACACACACACAGCTTATTAAGAGCAATGATACGTTAATACCTGTGGAGAGGTGATGCTTTGATGTAGCATCAGTTAGAAGAGCAGCTCACATTGTGTAATCTGTCCAGCGTGTTCATCCTCCAAAACCCAAACGCTCCACTCAGCACTTTAAACTGCTGAGTCAGCATTTATCCTCGAGCATTCTCAGTGGACTTTCAGATTCCAGATTAGCAGCGCTGGAGAAGTCTGTTCAGACCTGTGTCTGATTTTCACTATCTCCTGTACACATGAACTCACTGGCTAACCAGTGAGAGCAGTCCTTTTCCCCTTTACCCCCCCGGAATATTACTACAATTATTATTTTTTGCAACAGCATGCAATTCTATTTACTCTCTGCCTGCTCCCTTTTACTTCGGTGTTCATCTTCAGTCCCCTGAGATCTTTTCAGTCCCCTCCTGATGTCGTCTGTCGTTGTTTTATTCCTGTGGTGGACCAGTGGTGTGATGCTGGGCCAGTTAGCTCCTCTGCTCTCACCGACCATCTGTCAGTGTTAATGAGATCAGGGATGCCCTGATAGTGGCGTGGCTCTATCATGGAGTTTTGTGCTGGCCAACTTGGAGCATAGAGAATCAGTTTGATTATGAATGAATTTGAAGCTGTGCTTCCTGAGTAGTTCAATTATTTTTCCTCTGCACTAAATTTTTCAACTTTTCAACTAAATGGCTCTTTTTTTCAACGCAAGGGATTTCATCAGCACTCTTGTGGTTGGCATACTGCAGTGCAACTACAACATCTTCTTATCTATGCCCTTTATAATAAACTACATATTACATAGATGTTATTGTTCTGCATCCTATTTCTGAGTAATAAAACTGTGTTTTCACTGCTACTATTTCATCTTCTCATGAGTCAACAGTGGTAGAAGCAGCCTAGCTTTTTTCTTAGTTGCTGAATCATAAACTCAACATCCAGTTAAGCTGCTGACACTGTGTTTTAGTCCATTTTGTGTTTTAATCCATGTGACAGTGTAGCGATGGTTCATGGGCTCTGCCAGCAGGAGGTGGACAATCCCATACCAGTGTCAGAGTACTGCACAGGTTCATTTTTGCAGACCTGCACCCATCCTCATCCGCAAAGCTCCAAGTTAAACCCCAGACTCATTAACATATAACATGCTCCCAAATTCATCACCCGTGATTAAACACAAGCTACACAAACGCCCGTCGTCCGTCACATCAATTGAGTTATGGTCTCCTTGTCCTCCTGGTTGGGTGGTTGAATTGTGTCCATAGAAAAGTTACTGTAAATTGTTTCAGCACCTATGTTTCCTCTGTGACAACGTGCCTAGCTTGCATCTATCAGAAATACATTGTGGTACTTTTTACAAGTAGCAAAGAAACTGAGAAAGTTTACTTGTACCTGTGAATTCACATCATACATTTTTATCCATTACACTTCTTTTTGTAGGTTACCCATCCAGTTGTAGGATGCTACCATGTTTATCAAAGGTCAAAGGATGTATAATGTCTTACACATGGGACACTCACAGAAGTTAATGATTAGATGGATGGTTGGGGTCATGTGAGGCCTTGATACCATTTCCCACCATTCAGTCTTTCTTTCATTACACTTAAACAATAATATTCATTTCCCAATCTGTTAACATCTACACTTTGTGTTTTTACGACATATTACAAGCTAGACCAACTCTCTTTGTGTTTCTGCCTGCAGGGGACTGGGATTGTCATCCATTGGATCCTGCAGTGTGGCATGTGAGTGCTAACAGTCCAGACCACTTAACTCCCATGTTCCTACAGTACCTCACATTCAAACAGACACTCACATATGATCACCACAGTTTTCCCATACAATCAAATCTTATGTAATGAAAGCATTTAGCTGTCAACCTCTACTCAGCAGGACATCATTAGGAAAAGATCTGACATTAATATTCATTATTAAAGTTATTAACTACACTTTTTATGTCTTCATTCTACCCTCTCTTCTTTTTCTCCCCCTCTCCACCTTCATAATATGTCATAACTCCTTTAAACAAATGACCTGGTCTGCTGTCCTCATGGCCTTCTTGTCCCCCGGTAGCATCCAGTTACATGGCAGCCATCGAAAGAGGGCGACCACCTGATCGGACGCATCACATTAAGCAAGCGGTCGGCCATGCCCCGTGAGGCTGGGTCCCTACTCGGCCTAAAAGTAAGCAGGAAATCATCCAAGTGTTGTGTTCCATTTGCTTTAGAGAACCATGTGAGCAGAGCTTAGGGAGAGAACAGAAAGTGAGTAAAGAAAGGAACAGAGTAAGGGATTAAAGAGGAAGCTTTTAATCCAGAAATAATAATGTTTTGTAATGCCTGTGAATGCTGTTGTGTGAAGAAATATCTATAATAGCATGTATAATAGTGCCCATCATGCACCTCTGTTTCTTTGTGTGCAGGTGGTAGGAGGGAAGATAACAGAGACGGGGAGACTTGGGGCCTTCATCACCAAAGTCAAGAAAGGCAGCCTGGCAGATGTCGTGGGACACCTCCGAGCAGGTGACAGTCCACTGAACTTATCGCTTTCATATTGGACACCATGGACTCACCCCTTACTTTATCCTGTGATTTAAATCAATGGGGAAGTGTGCTAACGGTAGCAAGCTATGCACAATAGCCTCTACAATCTGAGTAGATCGACCACTTTCTTGATGGAAACAGGAAAACTACTTACTTTTACTTTATACATTTAAACACACATTTCTGAACTTTCTTCATTTTCAAGCAGGCTCGTTACTTTTGTTTGAATGTATTTGAGCCAACTTCAACATCGAGACAGATTTTAGCCTAACTAGACAAAAACACAGAAAAGATGATTCCTTGTTGTATAACAACACAACACACGTAACACGGTGTAAAAGACATAACAAGACAAAACAGACAGGACATGGTGCATGTTTGTGACAAGGAGTAACATGGAAGAAAGTGAAGAATCAGCAAACATCCCTGACAACGTTGATAATAAATCAGAGCAACAAATCATTCCCCATCCTTGGCCTTATTTAAAACAAGAACACTTCATTCAATAAATGGTACACATTTCCTCCTGGAAAATGTTTCATCCTCACAAATGTTGTCTTACTTTAAACTCTGCATTAAGTAGATTTTTTTTTCATTTGTATAGTCTATGGTTTTAACATGGACACAACACCCACAGTCCTTAAACTAAGAAACAGTTTCTAACATGTCACAGACTCACTCTATGTTTTATATTCTTTTCACATTTCAGTTTGATATTAATAAATACAAACATCTGTTAGCTGCTGGCTTTCATAGACAGACAGAATAATAGAATAAGGCTGGATCATCATTGTTGTTGTTCCAGGTGACGAGGTGCTGCAGTGGAATGGGAAGTCGTTGCCAGGGGCAACCAAGAAAGAAGTATACAACATCATCCTTGAATCAAAGGCCGAACCTCAAGTGGAAATAGTTGTTTCAAGACCTATAGGGTAAGATGACTGTTATCAATGTGTAATAATTATCATGAAAATACCAAAGTGCTGCCATTTGATTTTATTCTGACAGACACTTTTGATATGTCTCCTTCCTTTATCTAAAAGCTCTATCCACCGAATTATGTCCAAAAACTTCTTGAGAAAAGTGTATAGAGCATATCAGTAAGTAGTGTTGATGTGATGGATGGAGCCCCTTGTCCTCATGCCTCCCCAGAAATCCTTCAGATCCAAGAGAAAACCCCTTTTTTCCAGCTCTCCCTTTCTTCTCTGTTACGCATCATGTTTAATATTTAAGTGTGTATTTGACTGAGTGCTTGCTCTTCTTCTACCACACAACTCTTGGTTAAACTCATTCATTTTTTTAAAAAAAGATGAATGTACACATCTAGACTTTGTCTCTACATTGATGTTTATTTTCATGACTTAGTTAATTTTCTTTACAGACTCTTGTTTGCGTTTTACAGAGACATCCCAAGAATCCCAGAGTCGTCCCACCCTCCTCTAGAATCTAGTAAGTGTTTATATGAGCAACCTTTGTGACTGTAGAAGTTATTTCCATTGTTTACTGCTTGTGTAAACAGCTTCTGGGAAATGATTCACTCTTCAAATTGGGCTTGAACTCCAGACATGGGTGCTGATTGTGCTTTTTCCTATAATAGTTAAAAAAAACCTTTTTATTCTCTTCATCCATCAGCAGGCTCCAGCTCTTTTGAGTCACAAAAGATGGACCGCCCCTCTATATCAGTGATGTCCCCTACTAGTCCAGGGACCCTCCGAGACCTCCCTCTGGTGCTGCCTGGACAGCTCTCTGTGAGTATCTGGAGGAGGAGGCACAGAGGTTTGTGAATAGATATGAATATAGAAAGAGGTTAACAGCCGTCATTGCATCCTTTCAGGTGAAGCTGTGGTACGACAAAGTGGGCCATCAGCTGATTGTCAACGTCCTTCAAGCCATAGACCTGCCGACCCGACCAGACGGACGACCTCGGAACCCCTACGTCAAAATGTACTTCCTGCCCGACAGGAGGTAAGGACACACAATTTCTTTCTTATTTTGCAGGTCCCTCTTGCAAGTATTACTTATCATAAATGTACCATGAATCATCTATGCTTGTTTTAAGGTCACACTTCTTGTAATCTAAACTCTGTGTTTTCACTCCTTTGCTCCAGTGACAAGAGTAAACGGCGAACTAAAACAGTGAAGAAGAACGCTGAGCCCAAGTGGAACCAGACCTTCATATATTCCCACGTTCACCGGCGAGACTTCAGAGAACGCATGCTCGAGATCACTGTCTGGGACCAGCCCAGAGTGCAGGAGGAGGAGAGCGAATTCCTGGGCGAGGTAGAGGAGACACCATGTCTGTGTGCTTGCACTCTTGTACATGTTTCCCTCTTTTAGTTTTTACTGTTAAAATGCCTTTATTCCTCAGTGTTGATATCATAAGGGTGCGTTTGTTTGGATTTTACAATAAAGGAATGAGCTGTTCACTTAATGTTATCTAAAGCACACATTTTCATTTTTATTTGCTTTAATATATTATATCTAACAATGCATTATAATCAAATGGAAATCTCGTGCTCTTGGATAGACATGAAGTCATATGGGTCTGAACACAACAGGGGAATGAATCAAAGGAGTTATGAGATAGTTAAAGACAGAGAAAAAAAGAAAAAGCATCTGTCTGCCGCACAGAATTATAAAATCGTATAATTGCTCAGTCTGTTCTGTTGCAGGTTGGGTTTGTGTTTGTGTTTAACATCTGCAGCACTGAAACACTCCCTAACACTTCTGAGTCTCAGTGGCTCCATCAGACTGTTCACTTCTTCTTCTGCTCCCTCATCCTTCCCCTCTCAGATCCTGATAGAGCTGGAGACGGCCTTGCTGGATGACATTCCTCACTGGTACAAACTCCAGACACATGACGCGTCTTCCATACCTCTGCCCCAGCCGTCTCCGTACCTCCCACGCCGACATGTTCATGCAGACAGCCCCAGCAAGAAGCTACAGAGTATGTCTGGTTATACACCCTACATGTCCAGGCTGTTTGCTTGTATATATATATATATATGTATACATATCTCTTTTGTGAACCCACTGTACTTTCGAGCGTGTGGTTGCTAATCTTTGCTTCACTGAGCTTTCTCTTTTTGTCTCTCAGTGGAACAGAACTGCTCAACCTTACCCTGTCTTGTATATGCGTGTTTGTAAATGTGTGTTTGTGTGTGTTTGTATGCGCAGGGTCCCATCGCATCATAGATACAGAGTTTGATGATGGTTTGATGGTAGTGAGTAAAGGTGGGTGGGGAGGGCATGGTTACCGAGTATTTCCTCGTAGTAGCATGTAGGCGTCCAGCACTGGGTGAGACAGCATCTTCTTGCCTCCTCTCTCCTTCTGATGCTCCCAAATCTTCCAGCTTCTTTTTTGGCTCCTCTGTAGGTTTCAGAATAAGTTGCACCCAAATTAAAACAATTAATCTTTGCTGTATCAGCAAAAGGTACTCTTGCTTTTGCAATTCATCATATTACAACTGGACTGCTAGTTTTTGAATTGCAGTGCTGTGGTGTACAGCCTTTATATTGCTGATGTTCAGCAGTGTACTGGACCTCAGCGAGGCTGCACTGAACAGATTCTCCTCTTCTGCTGGGCCGTAGGAACACTGACGCACGGAGCTACTGTAGTTCACTGCCATTCCACTTAGTCTCCTGCCATTCACCCGCATGCTTCTAGTCCTGCTCAGAGGTTGCTTACTTCACTTACAGGACACCGGACGTGTAAACTAGAAGCTGAGTTTATAGAATCACCACAACTGCTTTGTTGTTTGACTGTTTCTGCTGTGGCTTCCTCTCCTGTCAGGCTGAATGTGAAGCTGCTTTAGATATTTAAAAATATTTCTATTGTTTATTTTGGCTATACACAATCGCATGTGATGTTCCACATGGGGAATTTAAATGATCGTGCACAATCTGCAATTTAGTTGAACATAATTATGCTTCTTTATATCAGGATTCAAACACTCAGATTGTGATCATGCGCACAAACAATTGACCTTTACTGGACACATTTGTGCATGTGTACTCTACCATATATTCTGCATACAGTAGACTGTGCACCTAAACAGATACAATGCAAAGAGAGTTGTGTCTCTTTAATATTTCAAAAATCAGAAATAATCAGAATTTATTTTAAATCTATTTCTCAGATCACATTTTTATCAGTTTGTCCCTGTGTGGTATATGGCTCTTAATGCACCAATGTCCACTATCCTTAGCTTTTGTTTCAGTGGAACAATATAAGCAATAATAATAATATATTTACAATAAGCAGTATATTCAATTACTCCAGGATTTTTATGTACACTGGTTTGTACTTTTTAAAAGTCCAAGCCTTTGAAGTGCTCCAAGTACTGGTCACCTGACTTTGCTTATGAAGAAAATAAACAGTACCAACCCCTAAATAACCGAAAGCAACAATCTCTTTTGCATATCTTTCTTTTAGAAGTTGTAGCGTGGAGGGCCAACAATATTGTACATTAAAAAATGTTAACCCAAGTCAGCAACATGCAACAAAAGAAATATGGAAATAGAGATTGGTACTTAGTCTCAATCGACTTGTATTATACACATCATAGTGTATGATATTTACATTTTGTGTCCCATATTGTTCATTTGCTGCTGCAGTGGTTAAATGTCCCCGAGGCATGTGAAAAGGTTAAACAGGAACTGTAAGCAAACCTCAGGTCTGACAGAGACATGGCAGAAACAGTTTGCTTCTCGGGCTAGTTCACATGACTCGTTAGCCTGTGTGCTAGCTGGTCATTTGCCTGTAAAACATCCTGCTGAGATGTTCTACAGTCTGTAGGAGAATGGCATCTCAAGCCGTCGTCAGTAGCACAACACACAACTTGTGCACTTTCATCAAAGGACACAGAACTAATGCCTGGATGTGTGTGTCTGTTGCGGTGTGTATCCATGTTGGTGTATGTTCTGCTCACACAAATCCATGATTCAACATGATTTCCGTATGATTGTGTGTGTTTCTGTGTGTTTGAATTGTGCACGTGTGTGTGTGTGTAGGTGCAGAGCGTAACTCCAGGGAGAGAGAGCGGGGCAGTACGTTGGCTGTGCCTGAGCAGCAGCGGCCCGTCCAGCACCGCTCTCGCTCGGTTTCTCCTCACAGGGAGGACTCGTGCAGGGCCCGGTCGCGGCCCGCACACGTGCCCATGCAAAGGTGAGCATCACGATCACCTGGTCAACTCTCAGCAGAGAGCGTGTTGTATCTTAAAGCTTGAGTTACACTTCATCAAAACATATCCCTCACTGAGATTATATAATTCAGATTACCCGTCCAAATGTTTTATCATTATACTCAGATTACCTTGTGGTCTAATAGTCTCAGTGTAGGTGTTGTAAATGCAATGTCTCCGTGACTATAAGGTATTTGTGTCAGATCCTTGTTGCGGCTTGTTAACATGTATTTATTAAGGCTCTTAATCTCACTGTTTTATGGCTGAATCACCACCATGTGCTGTAGATCTCTGTTAATGGCTGTTGGCCTGACAATGTTATTAATTGTTCTGAGAGCGGGAGGCTGCCAAATATGTTAAAGCAGGCTGGAATGTTGCCCTGACATACACTGTTCACTATATATTTACCTTTGGCTCGCCATGATAGTTGGGGATGAGCGAGCCTGTAATGATACACCCTTGATTTATCACGTACGACTGGCTGGTGCAGCGTTATTATGAGCATGTATCAGCTGGCAGGAGAGACCTTAACTCAAACAACAGACTGGAAATGAATTCATTATTCTATTAGTGTCCCTACTAGAGCCCGAATGATATATGAGATAGGTGATAGCATCTGCTACATATACACGTGAGCCTGACATATCTGTGTTTATGTTATCGCAGATATAAAGACTTTAGTTTTGCAGAATAAACAATGCAGTTATGTTTATCTTCCTAATTCAAGTTCCATACCTCTGATTTTCTTTTTATTTATTGTTACTTGTCATATAGGTTTTTGGTTAAACTGTAAAATATCAAGCCTCATTTACATTTTTTCATTTAGGGTTTGATAACAACAATTTATGAATCAATGACAATTTTTTAAAAATATGTGGATATTTTTATTCACTAGTATCAACCCACGAAAAATCAATATCATCCCAAAGTTACTACTTTTCCTTGTATATGTATTTCTTCCTCAGTTTACAGAGAACCTTTTACTTGTACTTCTTAAAGGGCTAATGTGGAGGATTTATCAACATAAATGGAATATACAATTCATAATCATATTTTTATTAATGTATAATTAACCTCACAATGGTTGTGATTTCATTACCTTAGAATGGGCCTTTTATATCTACTTAGGGAGCTGGTCCTCCGCCATGTTGCACTGCAATGTTTCTGGAAATAATTTGGGAATGAAACAGGATATCTGTCACAAAAGATCAGTTATTAAGAGTTATTTCCTGAAGGTGTTTTGCCATGTAATTCTAAAACGTTCTAAAACTATTATCATTCCCCATCGCATGTCAGTTCAGACCAAAATTGGGCGGACATTTAAGGACATTGGAATATGTTTAAGAAATATCCCAAGATTCATATTAGACCTAAACGGAAACATTTGTGCTTTCATCAGGAGTCTGGACGAGATCCATCAGAACCGCCACCACTCCCACTCCCCCTCCCGCTACCACGATTCCCACTTGGAGCACCAACGTTCCGGTGACTCGGACTATGAGTACTCCGAGGACAGGTACCATGTTTTTAAGGATCTGTGGGTCCCATGGGGCGTGGGATGGGGTACTATGTTTCGATATGCAATGTGAAAGAGGATTATACACAATGTTGTGGGTCATTCAGCAACTATGGCCTTCATCATGCATTAATAAAGCATGTACGTATGGAGTCTGCACAAGTTAAACATGTATTTAGTTGTATTTCATAAAGATTGACTATTGTCTTGATTATTCAGTGTGTGCAGTGTGATATTAACAAACTAAGTTCTACTAATACTACTAACAGTTTGAAATTAGTCATACTGGGTTTGTTACATCATTCTCTATTGTTAAATTCCGACTTGATTGAAATCTCAGAGTTATGATTTCCTGGTTTCTGTCATTCATAACTTCACTTTGCCTGTCTGAGTTGCCATCCTCTTCTTTTGTGTTTTCTCTGGGTTGTTTTTCATTTGTTCACCCATCGTCATGGCAATGACAGTGAGGTCCTGGAGATGCACAGGTCAATCCGGGGTGGGAGTGCCGAGTGCCTGCACACAAACAGGTAACAAAAAAGGACTTAAAAAAAAACAGACAACCACCATTCAGGTTTATTTTAATACAATACACCATTTTTCATCATTTTCATTCTCACTATACTTTAACAGCTTCATCGTAACACAGTGCTGACATTGTCATTACAGACACAGTATGTTAATTATCCTGATGCATCTCATATGTCTGCTTTTGTGCGACTGCATGAACACAAATTCTACATATATCAGTGTCAAGTAGTTGTAGCACATTCATAACTTCATGTCTGACTATTGTCTACCCCCACAACTGTCTCACATAAACACACACAACACACTGATCAGTGTGTGGGGGGATTACAGACCCGCTTGATGGCTGACCTCAAAGAAGGCAAAGCTCTTTTGATTAATTTCTCTCTTATTTATTTTTTGCATTGGATGTCTTCACTCACAGCAGTTGTATTGTATTTTTTTCTCTTGCTTTTTGTGCATGATCTCCACTCATATAACCAGGGGCGTAGGTAGACACAGCAACACACTCCCACCCAAAATGCCCCTGTTAGTAAACGGTATCCATAAAGATATTTACAGGTAAGTGCTTAGCGCAACAGGCGTTCTTGCGAACCCCTCTCTGTCCCTGTCCAGCTTTCCCAGACACATTTGTGGAGTTGGTTGGGCCATTTAATTGCGGTGGTGTTCTCGCAACGCAATAAATGGCCATATGTCCCCACACCACTGTGCTGCTTGTGTTTCCTCTGGACTGTTGCTTTGTCATGTGCTGCTTTAGCTGATTGTATGTGCTGCTTTCACCTCCGTATCATGCAATCCTTTGTAGCTTTTACATTGTTACACTGTGAAACATATCTAGGTGACGTCAGTACATTATTTCTTTCCATTTTTCAAAACATCTCAGAGAGTAGCTTTTTTTATATATATTCCTGAGAGTCACAGATGCAGTCGAGGGAGCTCTGCCATCTGGATTTCGTATCCTGAGTGCCAATAAAGTGTCGTGTTGACTAAAACTTTGCTGACAGATCATTAAATTTAAACATTATAAAGAGAAGTTGGAAAAACCAACCAAGTGTAGGTCAGTCACCAGGTCTGCAAGCTGGATCCAGATGGAACTATGTGAGTAACAATGAAATTAATTAGCTTTAGACATAAATGCTCCCTAAACAATGATCCTCCTGAATTTGTGGTTGATATTTCTGGTTGTGAGCAAAAATATTGGATGGACTCTCGTTTATTTTCAACTCAGGATGGATTGTTATAGCTTTGGTGATTCACTGCTAAAAAAATACCTGCAAAACATCAGGATGTTAATACTGACATTGTTATCATGTTACCATGCTGATAACAGCATTTAGCTCAAAGGAAGTGCAGAACTGTATCTTCTCTTCTTTGTTTGTTTGGTTTTTTTTTATGTCTTACAAACTCATTCCAAACTTAATAATAGATAAACTTCTTACTTCTTCCAAGTATTATTAGCATTATAGGAAGTGTAGGATCTAGAATTGGACCCACAATAGGGACCAAACTTTTAACTATTCTTTCTAAACTGTGCTCTTGCATGTTTTCGCAAACGTCTTCAAAATGCTGTAGTTGTGTACCACATAGTAACGACTATGAGGAAATCAGTCTCAAACTCATGGAATGATTTGAAGATGGTTGGCAGAAATGTACATTATGTGTCAGTCACAGTTAGTGGGCTACAACAAGTAAAACCACCAACATTGTCCTTTAACATATTAATCAGATGATCCTTGAATCATAATAATCACCAAAACAGTCATAATGTTCTGAAATGTAGGGAACTCTTCTTTTTCTTTTTTTCTGTCTCTGAAGCAGCATTAAAAAGTCATGATCATCCATCAGATTTACAGTAATGCTTCAGTCCTGGCTGTAAAGCTACTGGGAAGAAAGAAAGACAGACAGACAGACCGTCTAAGCAATTTCCTCTATTTCTCTCTGTTCTGCTCTAATCCTTTTTATGACCGTCCTATACATTATATAGATTTACTGTAGCTTGGTTTCCTCACCACGTGCCGTCTGAACGACTTTACATCTGTAGGTTCTGTTACGTAATCAGCATTACATGTAATCTCTCCATATATGTGTTTAGGGTCAATCTACAGGGAGGGCAAGAGGAACTATCTTCATTCTCTTACATCATTTATTATGTAAGACTATAGAATATGTGTTCATTTAGTGATTTGCCGGCATCATGCAGCAGGTACATTTCCACTCTGCAGCGACCCAGTGTTTGATTTTTTTAGAGAATCCTCTGTTTTTACTGTTAAACTGTGAGATACAGCTGTGAGAAGGAAAACCATTTTTTAATTTGCACCATATTGTGAATGTTGCTTCTTTGTCTCCTGATCATCCGCAAGAAGCCTCCTGCTTAATTTTGTGCTTGTGTTTTTCCACTTGGTCTCTCTCTGCTTATTTCTGTTGAGTTGCATGTGTCATTTTTGTTTCCTCTCGCCTTTCTTTGCAATGCGGGTCTTTCCCTGCCTGGTGTTGGCGGGGTCTTTGGCGTACAGCTCCACCCTCCCCGCATGCCTAAAGAGCAAGGCACCCCACAGACAAGAGGGGGTTAGCACCATGCCTCGTAGCATCCTCACACACCGTGTGCTCAGGTTCACTGATGAGGTCACGGTTAGGTAAGAACACACCCAATCCACACACCATACCCTCATCCCCCGTCCACTCTCCACCCAGAACCCTCTCTTTCGTCCCCTTTTTTATGTGACAACACAAAGCAGAGGCTTAAGCATGTACTGACGAGTGCAGAGCATTAAACAAACAGTAAGCCCTTGTTGCCATCCTTGTGCCGCATTAGTCCTGAAAACATTATTTGCAATGTCATGCGATGGCACAAAGTCAACCATCTGTTGGTTGTCACCCAACAGCATGACAGACATACAGCTGTGAGTGTGCAGCAGAGAGTAAACGTGAACACTGGCTGCTCTCCTCCGCACTCATTCATTCCCTTACACACACACACACACACATACAAGCAGTCCCCTCATCCACTTAGACCTGGTTCCCATGGCAACTCACCAACCTTCCATCTGAGTGGTCTCGCAGTGTATGGCCGCTAGGAATGACTGGCTATGATAAATGGAGATACAGCATCAGAGCCATTCCATGTTACTGCACTGTCTGATGGCCTTCCTTTTTCTCTCTTTGTCTCTCTGTCTGCTTCTCTTTTTTAAAATGATCTCTCGTTATCCTTCTTTTTCGGACTTTCTCTCTTTCCTTTTGTCTACGTCCTAATTATCACCCCTTTGTTCTCCCATGTTCTTCTAATCTCCTCTTCCTGACTCCCCTACTTGCACCCTCTGTCCATGTACATCCTGTCTCCATCTCTATTTTTTCTCTCCTGTATTTCTCTCTATGTTGCCATGTTGTGGCGGTGCAGCGACCTGCAGCCGTCGCTGGACAGAGTGAGGAGTGCCAGCACCACTTGTCTGAGACCAGACACCAACTTTCACTCCCCTGACAGAGACAGGTATAAAAAGAAAGTTACATCACATGAAATCACACATTACAAGAATCAACTTTAATTTGCTGATGAAGACACTGATGATTCAGTTCAAAAATGAATTCACACTCAATAATCACAGACTCTGCTGATAGTTTCGTTTAGTCACAACTTTCAAAACAATATTTTCTTCTCTACAAGATTGAATCATTCGATATTATGGGTTTACAAAGCTGCATGACTTCACCCCAGTTCATGTCATTTGTCCTTGTCATACATGAATGAATTTGCCATTGCCCACCATCATAACAAATAAAGAAATTGCACACTTTCAGAAAAAAGCATCTACCTGCTGTTTAGTATTTGGAGTCTTTGAAATATCTATAATTTGAGAAACGCCTGCAGATATTTTTGGACCTTAAACTTTACAATTAACTAAATTTTAAATAATGAATCATAAATAATGATGCTGTCCTGTACATTGATCCCAGGAAGGTTGACTAAGGGGGTAACAGTTGAATAAACATAACTGTGATACCTAAAATGACAGGAATCATTTTTGGACTTAATAGTTTGGCACATGTCCCATCTGCTCGCATGATGGCTTCAATTATAGGAGCTGCCATGTTGTACCTCTGTATAATCAGTCTATGGAGACAGAGCCAGGGTTATAGTCCCTCCTTTTCTTTTGCTTAGTTAATCATGTCCAGGTTAAAGCATCATATATACTGTACAGACATAAGAGTGGTATCAATCTTCATCTATCTACACCAAGAAAGCAAGCAAGTGTAGCTCCCCAGATATGTGATACAGTGCATCCAAGTACCAGTGTATTTACTACTATATTAGCTTGTTTATGTGTGGTTGTGATGCTCAGATTTATTTTACTTATTAACCACCACTCCTGGTGTTCCCACCCCAAAATGCTCCTCCTCCCACCCCTCTGTCCTTCTAGGTGCTCCAACTCTTTGCCCCACAAGACCCCCCCAAGTCCCCGGATCTTAGTAGAACATGTGGCCCCTGAGGACGACAGGTATATCAGGCCTGCTCTCCTCTGCTGTGCCGAAACCTTTAAACATTGCGCTACAGCTATGCTTGCCTGCTTAAACCTTCCTGGCCCCACATTGTGAAGCCTACACTGAAGCCCAGAGCTCATCCTGTGGATGATAGCGTTGCACAGATCTTGCGATCAGCAGTGTTTCTTCCCCTTTTCCTGTAAATATTTGTGGTCTAAGGCTGTGTAATCCCTATTTTATTCTGCTGCACCTGCTCTTTCTGCCGAGCACCTGCTCTGAATTTCCTCTCTTCGCTGTCTTGAAAGCACTTTCTTTGCTGTAAAATTGTTGCTGGCTGAAAAATCTTTTTCCAGAATGTACAATTCTCAGCTATATTGCTTTCACAAACCCCATAAACCAAACCATTAGTGTCATTCTCAGGCTTTTACATTATTTAGAACATGCCATATGAATCAATATTCAGTTTTCATTTTCCATGTCGTGTTTGTTTTTCCTCCTCTCTCTTTCTCTCTGTGGTCGCTGTGTGCTGAAACAGGCAGTGTAGCAATTCATCAAGTCCAAACTGTCACAGGGGCTGCAAAAAAAGCCTCGAGGGGGACAGGTAAGATCATTCATTCATGTATTCATTCACTCACTCGCCTTTTTTCACCTCCTCTTATTACTGTCACCTCGATCCTCTCACTGGAGGGATGATGGCTGACCATGTTGTTGGAGAATCAGGCATATTGATTTGGATTTGTGCAGTAGGTAGATGAAAAAGGTTGAAATGGAACCATATTAGCTATAGATATGCTACGAGTGTCAATTATTTGACATAATAAGATTTTTTTTTCCTGAAAAGATAAAGGATGATTGCTGCCACCCTAAGGGTTGAAATCTTCAATATCCTGCAGTTTAGCATAGAAACAACAACCCATGTCCAACAGTCCCAGGGCTTTTGATGTGTTGACTTTGTTCTCGTCTAACCAAATATTGTCATGTTAACACTTGTTTTTTGCAGATAAAAGAAGTGAGATAATAAAACTTAAGTAGTAAGCGTTGCTGATAGTTGAATTTTTCTAACTTTCAAACAGGGCTAGATTAGCTTTTTCCTCCTACTTAATCTCATATATGATATGTACTGTATTATTGTAATATAATACAGGTATTGTGATTGTGGATCGTTCGATTTTAAATCCTGTGCATCTTAGACAGCATCGCACACTTTGCCCCGAAAAGAGAAAAATTATCCTATTTTAATTTTTCAATTTCTTTGTATTTATATGGTTTTATGTTTTCATTTACTTTTATTTCCTGGTGCCTGCCCACTGATGGCAGTCGTATCCAGCCCACCTCTATCCTGAGGGGCAGTAGGGGGAGAGGGGGCCCGCTGAGGCCCTTTGGCCAGACAGCCCTGGCTGGGTCCTGCCCAAACTCGCCACGGCTAGACAGGTGCATGTCCCTGCCAGTTCAACCCCTCTGCTCCCCTGTGTGCTGATTTCTTCTCTCTGGCACTGAGTGTGCTAACACTGTATGCACAAGTACCACAGGTATTTTTCATAACTCAGGAAACAAAAGTCATGTTCATTCTAAGAGGCATGATATTCGCAGGTTGTATGATCTTAGACAGTGGGTTATGTAGATAAGGTACATTTTGGGAAGAATCAGGCCTGAAGCTTTTAGTGTGAAGGATTACATTTAAAATTACATCCAAAGATTCTGTGATATGTACGAATACTGTGGTAACATGCATTCTGTGTATAAACACATACAGTGCCACTTTCTTTGCCTCTTCTACCAATGACTCCAACTCATTCCTCTCCCAATTTGCCCTTTCGACCTCAAGCACTTTATTGCTTCTCTGATTTTGTTATTAGCGTCACTTCAGTCAATGAAGAATACAGCTTTAACAGTACGTTATCCTTTCCTCTCTGCTTGTGCTGCTTGTGTTGTTATGTTCCTGAACGTCAGAGCACACCCTCATGGCAGCCCCTCTCCTCCAACGGGGACTCCCTCATCAGGTCGCAGGGGCAGGCAGCTGCCGCAGCTCCCTGCAAAGAGCAGCAGCGTAGAGCAAGGTATGTTGTGTGGGAGCGATGAAATAATCTCAAACTGTTAAAAGCTATTTTCTACATTTATACACATTAATCTATGCCTAACAAATAATGCAGAGTTAAGGAGATGATTTAGTTTCATTTGCAGAGAGCTGAGACTGAGATAAAGCTGTTATCTTTAAACACAAAGCACAAAATGCAAATACTGACCAAATGTCTTTGCCTCAGTAACACTACCTCTTGCTATCACTTTAGAAAGAGCTATCACTTTTTAAAGAAGTTTTATGAGCATTTAACAACACATTGTCAGCTTTTATTAAAGTAGTTGTTTTAGTGTTTGGTGGATGATCAGACTCTGCCAAACAGATGGTGAGGGAGCCTATGCAGAGAATAACACTATGTATCATCATTCTAATCAACTTAACAACCTTTTTGAATATGGCTACTGTAAAGGGGGAGCACTATGCCAGCACAATGATTCCTCTATTCCTTCTTACCTCTTGTGGTTAGTTATAGCTGACAGATGGGTGGGGTTTGCCAGATGGGATAAAAAAGGTGCTTGAATGAACTGTGCAGACAGCCACAGCCTTTAGGCTATAGCTGTTGATTTCTGTCATTACAACATAAAATCCCCATCTGACTTTCCTCACCTTTTTCAACCCAGCATAGCAGCAAATAGCATTTTATCCCAATGTGATGGAACATCAGTACACATCATGCTCCACCTAGTGTCTGAAACCTGATCCTGCATCCTTAAGACACTCCGGTCTCTCTCATTGAGAACACACAAATTCATTTTTTTTTCTTTCTCTCTCTTATTTCTTTATTCCCTGTATTTTTTCTGTGTTTTTGTCCCAGCCCTCGCAGTAGAGGAGCGAGCCCGACTGGTGCAGATGAAAGTACATTCCTATCGGCCTTCAGCCTCCCACGACCCTGAGACGGACCTCAAGACCAAACGGGAGGTCAGCGTCCATGTCTTCCTCCTCCTCCTGCACTGGATGAGTTATAAATAAAGAAAACATGTCGGTTTTCTGTGCAAAATCATCACGTCTCTCCCCTCCTGCACGTCTCTCTTTGTTTATAGATGTATGCGGAACAGCGGCGTAGCAGTGACAACATGTCGGCGAGATCATCAGACAGTGATATGAGCGATGTGTCAGCCCTCTCCCGTGCCAGCAGTGCCTCCCGCCTCAGTAGCACCAGCTACATGTCCATCCAATCAGAACGGCCTGGGGGACGACTCAGGTCAGTCCTCATTGGCTTCTGTGAACCACAGTTACTAACATACAGCCAGTTCACCCTCTCTGAAATACACCTACATGTTCGGGTATTGTCTGTTTTATGCATGCTAATCACTGTGTGTCTTTCTTTTTTATTTATGCATGTCTGCATGTTTCTGTCTCTCTGCATGCCCTGTCTTCTTTATCCCCCCACACGCACACACACACACACACGCATACAAACACTTGGATACATGATGAACGGTGGATCCAAACACACTGGACTCAGATCCAAGTCATTAGAGGAGGAGAAGAAGGACAGGAGGATCTCGTGGGGGGTGGATGGGGAGGAGGAGAGGAGGAGGGCGGCAGGAAAGAGACGTTTCTCTGCGGAGTTGAAGCGCAGGAGACACACTGTAACAGGAGACACCAGGGAGTCCAGGTAAACATCAGTAGATCCCCAACGGTGAATTCACTGATGATGACACACGATACATCTTCATTCCCCACATTCCCATCTGTTTAATACAACAGCACACAATAGGAGCTTGTACTGGCAACAATTATAGACTGTTTCTTATAGATCTCTGCTCACACCTTCCAAAGGGGGGGGGGGGTTCAATGTCTAACTCAAGGAGACAAGAGCAGGAGGGACACAGGGATGAGCTCAAATCATTTGGGTGAAGAGTTGTGATCCTGCTCAATTTTGAGGTGCAGTTCATTCATTTAATTTTATTGGGACTCTGTGTGAATCCCAAACAAGTTTAAAGGAGCGCTTAAGCAGATTACACATAAAAACCTGTTTACTTGTGCCAGTACGTCCTCCCTAACAACTATATCAACAGGATTGTCAGAATTTGGGATGCTGGGTTTGAGCAAGCAGTCAGGGTCTATTGACATGCATGCGTTGCATAATGGGACATTTATCTAGAGTTTTTGGAGCTTGAACCAATACAAGAGACTGAAAACTGACATTTTCCCTCTGCTGCATTTATTTTTCACCAAGCTTTTAATCATTTTCTCCCAACAATAGATGCAACATTAAATAAATGAAATCTCTAAAAATGAAGGTAGAATATTTTCTTCTCAAATAAAATTACTCATGACAAAAAAATCCACATTCATTGTCTGCACTGTATGCAGAATATGAAACTAGATTTTTAAATTTAATTATCAATTACCAAAAGAAGTTAAACTTTCAAGTGTACCTCAGTAAGAATGAATCAAATAAAAGGGAGATAAAGGAGTACAAGGCAATAAAAATCCCCATGCTCTCTTCACGCACACAGACACACACAAAAAGCTTGTGCACTCCCCCGGCTGACCAGTGTCAGTGAGCTGACAGGGACAAACAACCCTATCCCAGTGGTCCTTCATGGACCAGGTGGTGATGTAGTGCAGCTTATTAGCTGGCTAATGTACTGAGGTCTGGGAGGAGGAGAGAGGGGTCTGTTCTTTATGGCCTCACCACGGATCAATCCAAGCAGAGTGTTATAAAAGCACAGCCTCACAGCCTCTGACACACTTTGCGGAGTGGGAGGTGAGAAAGAGGGAGAGAGAGGCAAACAGAGTGAAAGGATTTTCAAACCAAACACGATCTCAGCTACATGGCAAAAGTATGTGGACAACCAACAGAAGAACTAATTCTGAGTAATCATGAATTGTGATTGATCAGAGGCTCAGATTTTCTCCCCTTCAACCACAACAGCACCAGTGAGGGTAGTAAGGGCCCTGCTCACAGACATTGTGTGAGGTTCATCCCGAAGGTGTTGGCTGGTGTTCACTCTGTGAAGAGTTGTCCGGTTCCTCCAAACTAAACAGGTTAAACCGAACTGTCACATTATTATCACGTACTATCACATGAGCGTCACATCAAACATCTCCACAGACAACCCTGTCCACATACTTTTGTCATTTTGTGTTTACTCTAGCTGAGAAGAACGGAGGTGCATGAACATATTTTCAGACTTTTACTGTCTACTTGCATCCATATACTTTATATAAACAAATATCAATAAAGTTAAAGAGGAATTCCACCAATTTAACTCATCAAAGTCTGCGACATCTGTAATTTGAGAAAATCTCCATCTTTAATATGTTTAAATGTGTCGGGTGCATGAAGAGAGATAAACAGTTACAGTGCAGATGCTGGTGTCAGATCAGCTCTTAGGGCTCGAGAGTGCTAACGTTTTACTAGCTTGTGCTACTAAAGATAGATGAGTACTAACTGTAAAATCTATAGAACAGGTTGTACAAAACATTCAGCCCAAGCAGCCTTTATTTATTTATTTTTTCAAAAAGGTTGAAAAAACAACAGTGATGACAACACGGCCACTGTGCAATGTAAATCATGTAATCCACTGGTTATAGCTGTAGACTTTTGAGGAGGGAGCTGGATACTTAGATTTAACTAGTTAGTTTGCCAGCTAACTGGCAGTTTATGCAAAGCATCAAATCAATTATTCATCAACAAATCAGACAGACAAAGCCCACAGTGGCGGTGGTTGTGGATCAGGAGGTAGAGAGGGTCATCCATTAACCAAAAGGTAGGTGGTTTGATTCCTGGCTCCTCTAGTCTGCTTAACAAAGTGTCCTTGGGCAAGATACTGAACTCAGAATTACCAGAAATAATTCAAACCTTGTGGATTCAGATGATTAAATTATTTGTCTTTGTCAATGTCTTCTCGTATCCCTTTATTGATCAAATTTGATTTGACAAGTTATCCTTGCTACTAAAATTCTTAATTTGTCTTTAAATATTTTAACCTAAACATCAAGCTCTGTTTCAGGCAAAGTGAATTTTGTGTCTGTTAAATAATAAGCCTGCAAACAGACAAACTGAAAACACAGGTTTGAATTCCCAAAGCAGCAAATTAGGTCAGTTTCCATCTATATAAAAAGAAACAGTCAGTTTGTTTTAGAAAACAAGACCAGGGGTGAGTTTTCAGAGAGAGGGGGTACGAATAAGTCAACCAGTGATAGACAGCTGGTCTCAGGTCAGTTTTCACTCAGAGTGGGGTATTAATATCTCTATTGAGTTTGATGATCTGTTCTTGAGTTCATATAGAGGCAGTGAGGTCGCACTGACACATCAAACCCTTTTTACATCTTTTCTCTTAATCTTTCTTCTTCAACCTTTCTCCCCTGCCATGTGTCTTACCAGTTTCAAATAATCAATTGGATGCCACACATGTAAATCAATGCATGCTAAGAGAATTCATGTTTGCTTTCCTTTGAGCCTTTATTTAATTTCACCTGTTTGTTTACCTCAAACCCCAACACCTTTCAGAATAAAGACAATGATTTAAAAATCATTTAGCTTTGCACAAATTCCTGAAATGACCTTATGAGCAGTTTCCCAAGCAAAATAACACAATCACGAGATTTTCTGTCGTAAGCAAAACTGCTCACCAGTTTCCAATATGTACGATTGTGTTTGTCATTTTTGTTTTATTTGGTCATTGTGTTTTGTGTGTATCTGTCTGTGTGTATGTGCAACCCCAATGCATGTCTCAGATCCCTCCTTGCATGCATCCTGTGCTGTGAGTGCCCGGACCCTCTCCGTCCTGCAGACCTGGATCCTCCCCTCCCAACCTACCCCTCTACTGCACGCCCTTCCCTGACACCCCTGCAGGGGGCAGTGGAAACCACCCTGCCCCTCCCCCAGTCCTTGGGAGTGTCAAGTATGGGTGACAGGGGCAGTGTAGCAGGGCTGTCCTGCAGCACTTTCACCCCCTCTGAGGGAATGGACATGCGGAAGCTCTTGCAAGCCACTAGGAGGCAGCATGGAGCACTGAGAAACTTCTGCTCACGTGCAGTGGCTTGTTTGAGATACTTATACACATGAAAAAAGTATCATATACCCCCCCACCAATCTTGTTATATGACTAAAATTTGATTTTAACCAGGATAATCTCATGAGATCATCAATAGAGTAGTGTCAGCACAGTCGTGTTACACCGAACTCCATGTTGGTTTTAGTTGTGTTTATTGTGCTTTAGTTCTTTTCAGTAGGATATGCCATCATCATGTTCCCTTTTCACTCATCTGTTATTTGATTCACTTTTGATTAAACACCACTCAACACCTTGAAATCATCGTCGTCCACCATTTTTAAATCCACCATGCTGTGTCTGTGTTCTACTAAAGTGAAGGTACAGTATGGAGGAAGTTGAGACTGAACGTCATCCCCTCTCCATCACACCAGATCACAGTGCCAATTAGCATCTTCCTGTCTCTCTCTCTGTCTCTCTCCAGCCGGCAGATGCGGTCTTCGATCGGCCATAGCATGCAGAAGAGCTCCAGCGTGAGCGGGGAGATCTACACCCAGGAACGCACCGACGGCAGCCAATCTGACACGGCGCTGGGCACGGTGGGTGGCGGCAGCAAGAAGAGACGCTCCAGCCTCAGCGCGCGGGTGGTGGCCATAGTTGGGAACCGTCGCAGTCGCAGCACTTCACAGATCAGCGGCCCTGGTGAGTTGCCATGGCAACTCTAAAATGTTCAGTGGTGGCTCTGGAGACCACTGGTTATGTGTGACAGGAATGTGGCTAAATATCTACTGAAAAAGGGACGCACATGAATCATTACTGAATATTTATATTGGTGTGATAGTGTCATCCTGTCACATTCAGGGTGTGAGGGTGGTTACTGTTAAAGTAACAACAACATGCTGCTCAGATATGGGGTCGAGCTAATCAGAGGCTTCTGCTTCTAAGTTGAGCAGAGTGTAAAGGAGGTGGCATCACTTCTCTGATTGTTTGATCTTTATTTAATCAGGCTTGTTGAGATTTTCAGTTAGAGACAGAACTGAGAACAAGAAACAATAAATAAATATGGAACAACAAAGAGTTACTAAATAAAAGCAACACAAGGACGTGGTTAAAACAATTAGAAGATTCATGAAAAATATCAGATATAAAGACATAAAATCACAGAAGGGAGTGTAAGAATGCAGTTGTAGGACAGTTTGCAGCTCATTCCATTAAAGAGGTGCATATCACCTGTATCCTGTTCTGCCAACATCAGTGCAAGTGCAGGGGTTATCTAAGGTAAAGAAGTTACTGGATCATGTAGTGACGTCAGGTAGCTCTGCAGTTTCATCAGTGGAGTTTTATAAATGAATAACATGGTATGACTGGAAGGATGTCCATCCCACCAACTGATAGAGAGAACAATGATGAGTAAAGCACAATGCACTGTACAGAGTTAAACTGCTGAAGTGTTGATGGGGCAACACAAGTTAGTTTTATGGTTGACAAAAGACAAACATCCTTTAATTTTCCTAGTTTGATTTCTTATTTTTGAGTCGAATATTGAATATGAATTTTGATTGATAGTCGGCTGTTAAACCAGATTCCTCTATTTTCATGAATCACACAGACTCATTTGGAGGAGATAGTAACAATAACAGACGTTGGTTTAATACAGTAAACGTGAAGGTTTGGAGCTGTTCTTTTTTTTTTTTTGTTGTTGTTTCTGTCAAAGCCTTAGTTTAACCTTCCCCCGCACCTAATCTTGAAATGAATTCATTTGAATAATTTCTTAATAATTCCAATGATTCTTTATGTTATTTAAGCTTAACTTAAAGGTTCAGTGTGTAGATTTTAGTGACATCTAGTGGTGAAGTGTCATGTTGCAGCTGAACATCCCTCATCTCACGCTCCCCTTGCAAACATCAGAGAGAACCTGTGGCAGCCCTCATTGTCATAAAAATTCAAAAGATGTTTAGTTTGTCCAGTCTGGGCTACTGTAAATACAAAGTATTTATCTTTAAAGAGCCCAGATACTGAAGAAATGAGAACCAGAATCAGACAAAATGTCATTTTTTGGTGCTTCACAGTGTGTTGTCCAGCACGGCACAATAACTGATTGATAATCAGGCAGATTACACACGCTTGAGTAATGACCGTATTTGTGTGTCTTGCATATTTTTCCTGCTCCGTGATGTTTGGATGACACAAGTCTCTGTGACATAGACATTGATCAAGAAGTGCCGGTGTTGTGAGCTAATCTTTTTAACCTGGACTCTCTCACACAGCCCGACTGGTTCCTTCAGTTATCATACAGTTTCTTCTGTTTGATTGGATTACTGCTTTTGTAACCAAAAATGAATCCCCTGCAACACTCATTCCCAAAAAGCATTTATTTAATCTCCACAACATGTAATCTTTGTCCACACTGATTTCTCCAAATTATAAAACCGTGTTTCACATTGAGACAATTGTGTTTTCAGTGGATTTGTCCTGAGGAGCAGACTGTACCAGAGCACCACAAATTGCAAGTGTGCCTTTGTTGTGTAAAAGACAAACCCTCTGCGTCCCCCAACAAGTGTCGCAAAGACAAACGACCAAATAATTATGTTCCTGAGAGCTCCAGAACATCATGGCCAGCTGAGAGCCCCTCGCAGCTCAGCTCCCAGTCACACTGCAGAGTCTCACCGGTCTGAGTCTGGCAGCCACTTTTACCACAGGGTGGTGTACGACTCATGATGAAAGCCAAGCGCTGCGCTCCCCCTCTTTGTAGTAGACATAAAAAGCTATTAGAGAACATTAGGCCTAAGGGGGTCCTTTAGCCTCTCTGCCTTATGCACAGAGGAGAGAGGGGAAGTGGCGATAGTGCAGAGATAATGCTTAATTTGAGAAGTCTGTGGGCTGTGAGCAAGTGAAGGTAAGGAAGACATATGATTGAGTTTTTAAACATGAGGATTTTCATGGGATCACAAGATAATAGTTTATACATGTAACATTTTATTCTAGGTTATATTGGACTGACTGTATGTGCTGCAGACTGCTGGATGCAGAGATTCATCTCCTGCTTATATGGAAGGGATGATGGGATCAGCAGCTACAAGTTTTACCGAAACAAGCCCATATTCTGAGTCAGGAGGTGGACACGTCCCAGTCCGAGATGCCACACAGTGTTGTCCCTTTTTATACCTAACAATTTCCTGTTTACTACCATAGCTGGATTCAGCAGGACATGGGTGCGACTTTGGCTGTGACTCACAAAGAGAGATCACAGAGTTCTTAACTGCATCTCTGATGTTTAACTTCCTGTAACCATGATTGAGGAAGCAACTAATAGTTCACAATTTATCCATTGATAAAAATGTTTTGGAAGTTGGGTTGTTTCAGAATAATCTTTTTTACTTTCATTTAACCGCAACCAGGAAATCTTTCTCTGAATCTGGATCATTGTGGGACAGCAGTGGTTGAAAAAGAAAATCTTTAAAAAAATTACCCTGATTATCTCATAGCAATGTCATGAGGCCTGAGTGTGAAGGCTACAAATGTACACACAGAGGATGTGAAAGTGGTTGTTTGCTTGATAGAATGGCACAAGATGCTTCATGGGAAATGTACTTTAACTAACCATGTCAGCAACAACAAGGTTGTGATTTTTCATGTTCTAAATGAAAGATTTTGTGCATCAACAGTAAAATATATAACATTTTGTGAAATATGCCTATTTGCTTTTTCAACAAGAATTAGGTGAGAAACTCCTGCTCAGCTATCTGTATGAATTTCCCAATATGAGTTGTACCTTTATTCTGAGTGAATAAAAGTAAAAAATAACTACAATAGCATCTCTGACATCATCATTGTGATTTTTCCCCCTCCATCTTTCCTGCTCCATCCAGAGGGGAAGAGTAAGAAAGAGAAGGGTGCACCCATCCAGAGGAGCACAGAGACTGGAATGGCAGTGGAGCTGACCAGGAACATGAGCCGACAGCCCAGCAGAGAGTCCAACAATGGCAGCATGAACAGCTGCAACTCAGAGGGAAAGTGAGGAAACCACACTCATTTTATCGTTCTTTTCTCACCCTGAGTCAGCTGGGATTGGCTCAGCTCTCCCTGCGACCCTCAGAGGATAATGGATGGAATGGAAATGGATATTTAAAAACTGTATTTCTGTGTTTTCTGTCTAGTCTCATCTTCTCTGGAGTGAATCTGGGGGCCAGCAGCCAGTTCAGTGACTTCCTGGATGGTTTGGGACCAGCTCAGTTAGTGGGCAGGCAAACACTGGCTACTCCTGCAATAGGTATGATACTCTCTTCTCTTCTTTATTATTAATGTTGATCCTTTATATTCTTTGATATTTTTTTCTCTTATACATTCGATGGATATTTTCTTATCTTTGAATCTGTATACGTACAAGTGTCTAGGGTATTTCTGTCTACTCAGAACAGATAAGTGACATTAGCAGTGTCATAACATTTACCAAGTCTGCAGTTTACTAGTATACAATACTGCAAATGAGATATTACATCTGCTATGTTTATTAAGTGTTGTAATGGCATATGATAAGATTAAGGTAATCAAATATAACAATTTCTGTTTCAATCTAATGAGAGTATCATGTATTACTGTCAATTCTAAAAATATTATATTACATATATGCACTATAGTATAGTATAATAAATATTATTTTAAGCATGCGCAGAAATCAGTTAAACTAAAAGTAAAACTCCAAACGTTTTATTTTGTCTTTCGTTTTGCAGTACATGCCATCATTAATCTGCTCCATGATATTATGTGTGTGCACCTGCTACAGCCGTGTCCATCCAACCTGTTCACATGAACAGGATATTCCAAGAACAACTTGACAGAATTTCTTGGTTCAAACATTCACTTGGACTCAAGAAGGAATTCAGTAGATTAATTCATTGTCACAATAATGCAAGAATTATTGCATTGCAGAAATTATTGCAAAATTCCACTCAAATGTCTTATAGGATAAAATGATGGCATTTTATATCCCAAAGGTCGACTTCAGCTTGACGTCATAAAGTTCATGATTGGTTGGAGGAGGGATACAAGTACAAGGCACTAATTCTAGACCTGCTCTTCGTCTGTTTCCCAGGTGATATCCAGATTGGTATGATGGAGAAGAAGGGCCAGCTGGAGGTAGAAGTCATCAGAGCTCGAGGACTCGTACAAAAGCCAGGATCCAAATCTCTCCCTGGTAACGACCTGACCCACATTTAGATACTAAAGAGCAACTAATCCCTCCCCTTCTCCCTAAGACAGCATTATTATGAGATATACACCCATCCATTGAAATCCAGTGCATTCACTCAGCTGAAGCCCCCCCCTCCCATAAAGACATAACCAGCTGTGAGATCTGATGGAGAGTATATTGGCGACGCACTGTGTTCCCCACTAATGGCTTTTTCTATTGTTTTTTCTCTGCATTCAGCTCCATATGTCAAGGTCTACCTGCTGAACAATGGAGCGTACGTAGCCAAAAAGAAAACCAAGATTGCACGGAAAACACTTGACCCACTGTACCAGCAAGCACTGCTATTTGAGGAAAGCCCACAGGGTAAAGTCTTACAGGTGAGTTTGAAATATGTTTCCTCAGCAGAATATCACACCAACAATATGATTCAGCTAGAGCTGCGTAACTTGACAGAAAATCATTTTCTTTAAGGTGATTGTATGGGGAGACTACGGCCGCATGGACCATAAAAGCTTCATGGGAGTTGCACAAATCCTATTGGAGGAACTGGACTTATCAAGCACAGTCATTGGTTGGTACAAGTTATTCCCACCATCCTCCTTGGTGGACCCGACACTTGCCTCCCTAACACGGCGAGCTTCCCAGTCGTCACTCGACAGCTCCTCCGGACCTGCGGGAGTCCGATCCTAGTGGACCAACAGCTCTACACCGCTCGGCGAGTAACAAACTCAAGAACAAACAGTAGAGAGAGACAGAGAGAGAGAGGGGAAAAAACTAATAGCGGAAATGTAGAACAACAATCAGAAACAGTCACAACGAGAAAGCTTTGTTGAGATCTGACAATCACTCCTGTCGCGGTTAATTTTGTCTGTTGTAGGGAGCGCCACGTTTCAGTGTTTCATATCCATTCGATGAAAAATCGTATCGTTTTTCTCTGTGTATGCTGAAGAGGCAGGGCTGTCCACAGACAAGCTGTAGCTCTTGAGACAGGAGACGAAACAGTGTCAGAGAATCAAAGTGAAGCAGGGTGGTTTTTAACTGAATCAACAATAGCAAAGAAATGTATGTAAGCGTCGGAATGTATGGACTCGAGACAGAGGTAATCACCCTCCACACCTGCAGCCGGCACAGTCCTCTCTGCAGTGGCCTCCTCCAGAACCCCAACAGACTGCCGGCACTCCTGCCCCCAGGCAGGGTGCTCCCACGTGGGTATTCAGTCTGGAAGCACAGGGCCTTTTTCTGGTGCCTAGACCTTGGAGCCACATCACTGGTCCCACTCTCTGTCAAAGGATCCTCTCTTTTCAATATGTTTACCATGGCTGCTCTTAGGCCACACTGTTTTAGTGTGTTTGCTTTGTCGTTTATTTCTTTCCCTTTGTTACTACTGGCACAAAATGTTTTTACAGTGCGTAAAATGCTCATGATAATGTTGTCAGTCTGGTGTGTGCATGGTGAGAAAAAACTAAATACAAGAGATAAAAAAAGGATCTAAAAACTATTAAATGTCTGCAAGTGTTATTCAGGGGGGGTGCTGGTGATAATGCCACAGCTTAGATTTTTACACTTGGCAGCGTGCAGAGTTGTTTTCCTTGTTGCACCTCTGGCAGAAGTCCAGGCCAGTCGTCTTTGTATAGATGTAAATTAGGCCTCTCAAGAGGTTGACCAATAAATAAGATTTATGTCACTTTGAAATCACAAGGATACAACATCACTGTAAAAAAAAGTTTAAAATATATATCTTTGTTCACCTGTGCAACAGCAAGATAGGAGCGTTTCATTTTTTCACATTTTTCGGGAAGTGCAGTCCTACACCCCCCAGCACGTTTGAGGTTTTTAAACCCTTAGTTTACATTATTTTGAAATTTTAACACAAGCACAAGAGCTTGATTTTTTTACGACAAAAAGTCTAACTTTTTGAAAAAAAAAACCATGTCGTTAAAAAAAGTAAAAAAAGAAAGCATTGCCGTCCCTCATTCGGTTCATTTCTTCGCCTAGATATTAGAAAACACAAAAACAAACAGAGGAGAAGAATGGCTCACAGTTTCCCTTGTTTGTCTCTGTGAATGTTAAAGTAACCAATCAGACTGATCTGTCGGGACGCCAACACCAATGCCCATCCTCCGTTTGGCCCGCAGACTCCTCCCATCGAGGAAGAGGCGGGGCCAGCATGACTTAGGAACCTGTTCCAAGCTGCATGCACATTTTTGTAAAACGAATACAAAAAAAAAAGATACTGACCTAGATACGTGTGTTAGTTCCACATACTCTAGGGCCGCTTGTATGTTGCATGCAGTTGTACAGTTTGCTCGTACTTGAATATTAAAGAAATAAAACCAAGAAACAGAAGCCATTCCCATTACGCAAAGACATTTGATCTCAACTGCAGTCTACTCCACGTCCCTCAGTCCGGTGCTGAATGTCTCTCAAACTAAATCCCAAGATTGCGTTGATGTCTTTCCTCGAACCTCTGGAAGATGTACTGTACTGTATAGTAGTACTGAGCAGACCTCACAGCCCCTCTTACTGTTATTCCACATCATAGTATACCTCCAAGGGGCTGAGATGATGTATGAATAAATATGTACAAATCAGATCCACTTATATGGAAATATGAATTATGTTTCAACATAATGATTTCAGATATGCTAACACATGAACTGTTAAATTATATAAAGAATTAAAGCAGATGCACAGAGAGTCATACACTGTAAATATACAAACAGCCATGCACTGGGTTTTCATTGGGCTGATAACTGCACAGGGGCCAAGTCATGTAATGAGGAGCGATTAATACGTCTAAAGGGACCATGCAGTGGGACAACACAGGGCGGTGGACATGGGTCACATACGGCTGAGCTCAAGCACACAGCCGCAAAACCTCCAGGTGTACCACTGCTCTAAAAGTCGACTTCTTTGTGCTTCAAACCCAGTGTTTGAACTCCGACCTTTCATCGTCCGGTGAAGCTGGTTTTTCCTTCTTTTTTCTTTTTTCTTAATTTTTCTTTGTCAGTATTAACAGGAAAAAAAATTGCTGATTGTTTACAACTTCTGTGTTCCACTGAAACAAAAAGAAAATTAGAAAAAAGTAAAGCATTCACTGCAACATTTCTTGTTTGTATAACAGATGTGGCTCAAATTATGTGTATGTTTTATATTTAAAAAAAAGTTCATTTTTATTATTTACAAATAAAAAGAATGTGTGGAAGAAAACTTGCCTTCTTTGTGATGTCTCCCTCAGCCAAAATAAAAAAATGTTTATGTCTTAATATACTCTCAGCCTGCAGTTGACAAAAGGTCACATTGAAAAACTTGTTTGTGGCAAAGCTTTTTCTTTAGTCCCATAAACAACCTCAGTCATTACTTCACTTACCTTAGGTTCAATTTTGGAATCTATAAATTCAAATCATACATTAGCACATTATAATTGTTGCATTGTTTAATCACACGTTTGAAAAGTAGGATACTCAGACATACTGATATGGTTCACATGACTTCTTCTGTTTTCATTTATTAGCAGATCTCACTGATATGTGGAAATAGATAAGTACTTAAAACTACTAATGTAACAACCAGACTACCTATAGTCTATTCATAACTTTAAATACTTATATAAGCTATTTTAATCAACTGTAACCATTGTTCCACAGAGTCAGAGTCTGTGCAACATGCTATCATGCTGACCTTTACCAGGGCTATTGTTTATATCAGGTGTCCCAGCTTTGTTTAACACAGCATCCTAACATTTGTTAATCAGCATGGAACTCAAATTGAGCCGAGGATGAATGTCTAAAACAAAATTCCCGGCACGCATCCCATTCACTTTGCATTTTTGGTGAGTTCTTGCATCCAAAACCACAAATGTCAACCTCATGGTAATTTAAGTGGAAAAGTCAGGGGATCATCAAGTCAATTAGGAGTCCTCCTCTTGGAACCCAGAGTGACGATGTTTCATACTTGTCACAGGAAACTTAACATAATGTGCAGACAGTCGTGTGGACCTTCATTTGCTATGATTTGATTTGTATTGGTTTACACAAATATTAAGAGACATGAATTTATATACACACATAGACAACAACAAGAAACCCTCAGAGGGGCTTGACCGGGGCTCTCTCCAATGGAACTGTTAGTTTACCTCATTAAAATAAAAAGCAAACCACATCAGCAGATATATGCCAGAACACAAAATATGTAAATACATCATTATTGCACATCAAAGTATTATTCCATTTAGCAGACATTAAAGTCACCTGTCATTTGTGTCATATACATTTTGATTTTGCCCATGAGGTTGTCAATTTGACTTATCTCTTATATTGTCTTTTATTAAATCCTGTTTCCTTTTCATTCCTATACTCAGTCAGTAGGCTGATGATTATTGATATCTCATTTGTTTCTGGATCTATGAAAACAAAGACTGTGTATTCCTGCTGCTGCTGTTCGTATCATTTTGTAGGCAAGAGAAAATATGGCTCAGGATAAAAAGAATTTCATGAAGCAGAGGTTGTAAAACAAGCATTTTTTAATTCGGATCTGTTGATAAAAGCACACGGCAGCTGTGTCCTGTGACAGCACTACACCATAACTCTCTGTCTTGGGTGGTGCTGCAGTGCGTCCAGCCGAAGAGGAAGTAGAACCAACACGGCCTCATGTGTGACCTCACATATGATACAGCGCTGCAGAGGGCTTGAGAGATTTATGTTCCACATCCTCTCGTTAAATAAGCAAAGGGCCCCCCGAAACAACATCTGCAGGCAATCTTGACAGACCCTCCCACCAGCCTTGCCGTGCCAGCCGGGCCCCCTGGTTCCCCTCGTCATAGCACCAGCGGTCACGACCTCTGTGTACACAGCGTGGATGCGGACTGTGGTGGAAAAGAAAACTGCACATCAACAAGTCAGAGGCCATGTTGAAATTTCCATGCTGCTCCCAGGAAATGGATTAATCTATAGCTGATCAGATTAAAGGTTGAAAAATTGAGAGACCATGAGTGGAAGTGGAATACAAACATTACCAAGTTGATTTTTAATATGATCCATGACGATGAATTATCCTAAGGAAAAACAATTAAACCGAACCTTTGGGAAAAAAGGAAATCCAGTATGAGCACCATGATGTGTCCAGACCGGCCTGTTCACTCTGATTCTTAATTTGAATGTTTTCACTTGGTGAAGCTTCACAATGGCGTGCATGCACTTGATGCGGGAAACCATCTCATCATGTGATGAGATGAGAAGTGCACAGTTTTAAGTTTTTAGGCCAAGTGGAAATGTGTCAGTTTCACTTCTACATGCAGCTACTGTAATTGTGCACAGTTACTGTAGAGTTTTTTTTGAGTTAAGGAGGGTCTTAGTTCCTCTTCTGGGTCTGAAGAACAAGTAGAACAGTGCAATGTAATCATCCGTGTTAAATTGGTTAAAATATCTGATGATGCTTTTACACAAGTTTCTTTTATGCAAATGCTTCTGTGCCTTTATGCTTCAAACACTCTGAACATACAGTTTTATTAGTTGTTTATTTTGTCAGTTTGTTTCCCCTTAAAGTTACCATTAGGTGTCTTATTTCAAACTGTGTCAGTTTGTTCAGCTCTTCATTGACTATATTTACATTTTCCCAATGTCGGATATGTGGTACTTGTTTGTACTTGCAAAACAACATGGCCTGCAGAAATGTCCCTATCCCAGTTTTGAGCATACATGAAAACAGGATCCTTCTCAGAAAACTCAGACAGAAACCATTGTAAGCACCTGATTCACATCCCTGATCAGACTCTGCCACATCAACTCAAGCTTCAGCTGCTGGAGGAAGAACAGAACAATGACAAACATGGATACTTGTGAAGCCCTAATATACAGACATATGAACAATCAGGTTTCTCATGTTCCACGTTCTTGGTTTATTGACCTTATTCAGAATTAGATACTATTTCGATTATGATGTTCGCATGAGCTGAAGCAACTAAATGATGAGGAAACAGAACTGAGGGAACAAGTGAGGAGGCGTCCTTTGTCAGGGCTTGGGACTGTGGTCTTTGAGAAGGTTGTCTGGTGCTGCAGTGACCAGTAGATGGCGTAGTTTTGTTGGAAGACAAGAGGCTGTCAAAGCTCTGCAGGTTAACAGAAAGTGTTGCACACTCCCAGCTGTGGATTCAATATGACACACGCACGCACGCACACACACACGCACACACACACACACACACACACACACACTTTACTCTTCCAAGCCTTTTTAGCACACCTGTATTCATCTGCATTCGAGGGCAGCAGCCAATCAGCTTCAGGTTCACTCAGCAGTTGGAGGTTGAGCAAGTATGTGTGAAGAGGAAGTGCGTGCCCAGACATAACTGATCCACGTCTTTCTTCCCGTCCACGTTCCCTTCAAGCTGTAGGGACACAGAGGGAACAGCGTGTCTGTTCCATTCTCTTTCTTGACCCACAAAGTTTTTACAGTTAACACACGTTATGGTTAAACTGAGCATCGACATCACATTTGGTCACTGGGGAGCTGCGTCTCTGTGCCACGTGGTTTCAGCGCCGGATGAAGCATTGTGAGACAGACCGTGCGAAGCTGTTTGTTTTCTGTCTAAACCCCTAACAACGCTGACATGTTGTAAAAACAAGCCCGTCTGAATTCAGAGTAGGCACATGTTGGATTTCGCCTGCACCGTAATATTTTCTGCAGATGTTCAGTGAGCCGTCTGCGAGTGGTCGTGCTTTTTTTCCACTCGGACCATGTTACCTGATATTCTTCTGAAAACGTTGTGTAAGTCAGAACTTTCCCCCCTCGGGAAATTAAATGACACGAGAGACAGTTGCTCATTTGCATGTGCGCAGCCCTGACGCGCCTGAAAACAAGTGAACAGAGACGAAGGCTTTCATCCCTGAATCATTTTCACCGTGACACTGTAGGTAACTCGGGCACTGATGCGCTTAGAAGCAACAGGCAGGAGACGGCGCAGAGAATCAACGCACAAGTTGTGGGTCAGTCCGTGTGGATGCTGCGCGCACAGGGCAGAAGAGCTTTACGCGCGGCGGCGGTTGTGTAAATGTCTGGAGGAGGTTGATGCTGGAGGAAAGAGGGCGGTCAGAGTGTGACGGAGAACACGGTGCCTTGCTCTGTCAGCTCTGCGCTCCTCACACTGCGTCTCGCACGTGTAATTTCTAGGTCGCGCACTGCACAGAGCACACGCATGCTTGTGGAGACCTCCGCGCACTTGATGCCCGCTTCGGTGATGCCATGCCGCGGAACCACAGCGGAGACGAAGGCGGCGCCGGGCTCTGGATGAGGACCTCGCCGGGGCACCGAAACGAAGGCTACGGCTCGAAGGATGTGGAGTCCGGCCGGAAGATGATGAACAACGCGGGAGACGGCTTGCTGCCAGCCTCCGCCGCCGCAGGTGCCGCCGGCTCCGAGAGCCTGAGGGGGAAGCAGGGGGCCCGGCTGAGCCTGCTGGGGAAGCCGCTCATATACAGCGCGCAGAGCGGCCGCAGGAACGTGCGCTACCGGCGACTCCAAAACTACCTGTACAACGTGCTGGAGAGACCGAGAGCCTGGGCGTTCATCTACCACGCGTTCGTGTAAGTTCATTCCACCAAGTAGTCTGTTGTGAATATGTGAAGTTTCCCACCTGTTGATGCGCACTGCAGAAACACTCAATCTCCAACAGCGGCGCGACCCCGTCTTATTGTATTTACGAACAGACAGAGACCTGCTGCTGGTTTCCATACTTTGTCACTTTGTTTGAGCCATGATGGCTGACACGTGATCAAACACTGGGTGTCATGGATGCACTATTCATCTTTAAATATACACCCCCCTTTACCAGAGCCACTTTCACAAGGAAGGAAAACCCCCTCTCTGCTGCTTGAGTGAACCCAGTGAAATCCATGTAGGGGGTTATGATGCAAAGAAACACTTACTGTATGTCTGCACGGGCTTCCTCTTAATAAGTGCAGGAGTCCTTGTTCTGTTAGTGGAGCTTCAATGTAACATTCATATGCAGTATTCATGTCTTTTTCATTGACCTCTGCTCTGCTTTCTGAGGGCCTCAGTGAGTTTGACATCTGCACTGGAACCAGGTCTCAGGGCCTGTAGGTTCCTGCAGCTCTAATACAGGAACCTCTCACACTGCCCTGTCAGTCACTCACAGGCAGCTGCTTTTGATTTCCCGCGCTCAACTGTTGTTGTCGCATCAAGACTGTTTCTGAGGGGAAGGAAGTTGAGACGAACGCTGACTCTGGTGCACCATCTTTTTTTAGTTTGTGGGTGGTGTGGTGCGAGTGTGTGTGTGTGTGCACTGGGTGGAGTAGTTGGAGAGACAGCAGCTTGTGCTTTTGCACTTAATCCAGCAGCTCTTGAAACTTATCACTTGTATTTTTAAAGCATTCTTGAAGTGCCTTTGTCAAATTGTGGACAGGACACCATGTCAGCATCCCCGCTGGACTTCATCTGCCAGTTTGACTCGTGTGATATTGTCAGTGTTTTTATTTAGTGAAGACAAATTTGATAGTGGAATTTTTGAAATTACAGTAATTAATTGTTACCGCATTTTGAAAACGTCGCCCATTTTACAGGCAATTTCTGTCGGAAGGCCTGGTCCCATGTGGAAGTGGCACAGTGATATTCACTGCAGAGCGGGCAGTGCTAGAAGCTTGGTGTCTCGCCACGTTCATGTCACACAGATGGAAAGTAGAGATGGGAACGACTGCTATTGACTCACATCAATGAAGAGATACTACCCAATTAAATGTGCTTTGTAGCTGTAAACTATATCAAATGAATGCTCTCTGATGTAATACATGAATGCTGGTCTTCAGGGACAGTGTTTCGTAGATTTAACCTTTTGGGTCTTCTCTCGTAAACACCTTTGAATCAAAGATTGGCAGCCACCCACCACCAGAGACCGCTTATGAGGTGGAGTCTGCATAGCTTTTTTAAAAATATACACTGAAACTAAACCCCTAGACCACTGCACCTAGACCCTCCATCATCCACCATTCAAAGACGTCCCCCATATTCTCCTGCCCCTCGGCTGCCCCCACGTCTCTACTTCATATGAGATTTCTGTCAAAAGGTGTCCGCTGCTACTGGAGTTGTTGCTCATAGCTTGAGAACCGAGATAACTTTGCTCCAGCACTGCGTTCTAAAGGCGTTTTTTTTTTTTTTTTAATTTACAGGGAGAGACACTTCAGCCAGAATTTAGGGGTGAAGTTACTCTTAAAGATGCATGATTATAAAATTCTTCATGTGACGATTAAAATAGTGTGCATTGACATTATAGTCTTTTTAAATTTGGGCTGTAGAGAAAGTTCACAGAAAAATGAAAACTGACTCATCATCTCACCAATATGCCGATAGAAGGGTGTGAAGTGTTTGAGTCCACAAAACACTTTTGGAGTTTCAGGGGTAAACAGTGTAAACAGGGGTAAACAGGGGTAAACAGCCAAATCCAATATATTTGAAGTAAATGATGTAAAACAACAACAGACAAAAACTTGAAATGCCTCCATTCTGCTCCTGTCGTGTCATCCAAGTGTCCGTAGGCCCCGACATTCATAATCAACTTGAAACGTAACATTTGCACCATGTTTTAAGCCTTTATCATTTTTCCAGTGAACTATCTCTTTAAATAACAATAAACAAAGGTCTTTGACTGATTTATTTGGGTGTCAGGCAAACATGTATCAGTATCAAGTCACATATAAGATATCCCAGCTTTCAACAAAATCTGTTTCCAGTGTTTTTTTCTTGCCACTAACGTTATACACTGGTCTGAATCTTGTCGTCATGATGACTCTGATGTAATATAATTTGAACATGGCATTAGGAATGGTTACAGTGCTTCTTACTCTGCTGTAGCTGGAAAGCAAACGTGCATACAGCCGAGAACTTGCAGCTGTGTCTGAGCCACTGGCTACTCTCTCTCTGCTGTGCTGTTTACTCTCTAACATTTCGTTGTCAGGATTGTGCATCATTTGTATTCACAGTTATTGAATGTGGGGGAACTGCCCAGTAGCTGACTTGCTAACAGTCAATCTGCAAATCTGTTCGTGTCACATTCTAGATTTCTATAAGATAACTTCTTAACTGCAGTCCATCATTTTCTTATCAACAGCCGCTCAAGCCTATAACTGTCAATTAGGATATAGAAGCTTTGTAATTCACTTTCCACACAAGACAAGAATTTATAGTTGTTCCTATCCTATCTTTATGAGGCCTGCTCAGCCTCTGTGAGGTCAAAGAGGTATTGTAATGATGTCAGCGACCACCATGGGGGTCATCCAGCTGAATGTTCACCCCTCATATCTTTTTTTTTTTTTTATCGGGGCTATAACTTAGGGGCACAATTGGATTTCCTTTGGTCGACACTTTTCCTAAAAGGTTGTCTCCAAAATGCTAATTTACATCTTATGAAAGTGTTGACTCATGCTCATCCACCCTCGGACTCAGACTCTCTTCACATGAGCGCTCATGAACGTTCTCTGGGGAGTAGGTGAATGATTCCCTTTCATCCCTGTGGCAGTGAGCTGGAACTGAACAATTGCCGAGACTTAACTCTCGCAGCTCTTTGCCCTCTCTCCTGTAGTGTGATGAATGTTGCTATGATGTTCAGTGGCCTTGAAAGTTGCACTGGTTTGCTGATATGACAATTACTGCAGTTGAGAGCCCCACAGTCACATTTTCTTTTGACTTAAGATGATACCACTGTCCAGATACTGACAAAGCTAGTTGTTCTTCATATTCACTGCCATTTAAAATATCAGAATTGGGGCCAGTCTACATAAAGTAAATAAAACCAAAATACATAAACCAAATCCAACAAACCCTACCTTAACCCTTATGTGAGATTTTGCTTCTTGTCGCTCCTCGCATTTTAACCACACAATTATTTTTCTGAACTATAATTTCTAATTTGCAAAGAGAAACCTTTTGTGCTGTGGGGCCCCCAGCAAAGAGTGGTGCCTCCTTGTTTATCTTTGCAAGAGACTTCCCCAATTTACCTGTATTACTGTAGATGAAACACTAACTCACGTCCCTATACCCGACACCACCTGCCCGAGGCCAATGTCAAATTTGCATGATCTCAGTTAAGAAGTTCTACAATCTAAACCTGTGGTCACCAATTTTTTCCTGCCCAAGATCACTTTTTATTTGAAGCGTAGGCAGGGAGAGGTCATATTTATTATTTTTGCAATTTCTGTTAAAGGCTCAATGACCAGTATAAATATACAAAAAGAAAGGCAGTTGTGCAACTTTATCTATTCAATGCACAATATTCACATTAATATCAATTCATATTTACATCTGTTCAATGCACAATATTTTGCTTCTCAGTTCAACAATATGTTTTGCAGAGGAGCTGCTGCTGCAGCACTATTTTTTTTTTAGGCTTTGCCTTAATAGGGCCATAAAGATGTACAAAAGTAGTCCTGCCCCTTTTTTTAAAACAAAAGAATGGATTTTGTCAACGGAAACGCTGTAGTGCTTTTATTTTGAAACATATATAGAAAGTGTTGCAACCATTTATGTCTGTGACATAAATTCATCAGATAAATATTAAAACTCAGATGAAAGATCATTTTCTCTGTTTGTTCTGCTGTGTAACACAATGTTCATCTGTCTATCTCAAAAAAGTATTTCCAACACTTCCAGAACCCAACCAAAGAAAAAGCACTCCGGCGTTTCACTTTCTAAATCCATTCATTTGTTCTAACGGAGCTTGGATTGTTATGGACAGACCAGAAGATGCAGGTCTTCATACTGTATTGTCCTGACATTTACAGTTTAGTACATAATTCAACTTGTATTGAAGGAAATGCAGGTGATAAACTAGCAGCTCACACAGTTGATCTGCAGCGCAACAGCAGCCAGTGAGTCCAGAGAGTTACGGGGATCGACAGTGAAGACTGTTGAGATCCACTGATCTAGAGTATTATTACATTTTACCATTATGTTTCAACTCATGGTCTGTTTTAGTTCAGAAAAATAATTAAACATCGAAAAAATTAGACTTCAGACACAACACTATTTACACGTAACCAAAGTACAATCTTTCCTTGATCTTTACCAAAGAGATTTTGTTGCAGGACGGACGAGTGTGTAGATTCCATCTACAGTCTCTGGTGTGTCTTTGTCGGATGATCATCCACTGCATCCACCTCCTCATCAATTTGCTGATGTTATTAAATGTGCAACTCATTCATTGAAAAGTTATTTTCCCTGAATGAATATCCAGCCAATGATTATCTTTCTTATAACATGTATTGTTGCAATTTCGCTTTGCGGTGTTGTGTTTATAGCCTGCTGTTTCCCCCAAGTGACAAAAAAGATAAAAATATGAATGCAGATAATTAATTATTTTAATAGACTATTGCCCTGTAGTGGCTCAGCTAGATTCTTTGTTTAGGCAGATTACTTAAAAAAATTCTGAAGATTCTGATTCTTCTGAACATTATTAACAAAATTATCCTAGTTTGTCAAGTGCATCTCATAAATCATACATTAGTTTTGCTGCTGTGAATGAAATATTGTTTGATTTCTTACTCAGATTTAGGAGCGTGTGTGTGAGAGTGCACAT